TGGGTTTGATCCCCAGCATCCCATATATTTCCCCAAGCACCGCCAGGAGTGATTCCTGAGTGCAGAGCCACGAGTCACCCCTGAGCATCGCTGAGTGTGACCCCCAAAGCCAAAAAATAAATAGAATAGTTTTTTTTTAAGTGATTTCAAACAGAAAAAAAAAAAAGAGGAAACTGACCAGGACACTGTGACTTCGCTTGTGTTCGGTGGAAAGTTGGCACACCAACGCCTTGGAAACTTGCTGTCAGCAACCAGATGCTTGCTGAGGTGAGTGGATTCAGCAGTCTTTGATAACTGCTAGACTCCTGAGACATGCACTGACCTGAAGTCAGTCTTCCAAACGACAAGATTAAAAAAGATTTCCATTTCCCCCCAGTTACCATTCAGTGGCAGAGCATGAGTGAAAAAAAAAAAAAAAAGAATTGTTTTATTGCTTGTGGGTTTTTTGTCTTGGGGTACCAGGAATCAATGCCAGGCCTCAAAAACACAGAGCATTCAAACAATGTACATATGTACTGCCAGTGAACTGCTTTTACTTCTGACTTATGTGAATTTATGACTTGACTTGTTACAATGGGGTTTGTGAAAGAAAGGGAAACTTAACTATTGTAACCAAACGGAAAGGATGACAGAATCCTCCAGCTAGCCACCTAATTAGCAAGTACCTATTAAGCACTATTAGCTCTACAGTGATACAGCAGGGAGTAGGGGAGGGACCTGGTTCTCCCAACAGTACTTGCTTTCTGTTCTTTGGTCACACCCAGTGGTATTTAGGGGCTGCTCCTGGCGTGGTACTGTGTCAACCAGGAGCAGGGGATCCACGCAGGCCTCCTGCAGACAGCTACACACTCCAGCCTACTGAGTATGCTCTTCAGTCCCCCAAGAGCATTTCTTAGGCAACAGAGTACCAGAGATGTTGCATAATCATGGCCCAGGGGCTGGAGAGATGGTGTAGTTAGTGAGCACTGCCATGAGTGTTCCTGAGCAGAGTCCAGAGGAAGTCTTGTGCAGTCAGGTGTGGCCAAGCTTGCCTTACCTCCTCCCCTAGCAGCTGCAGCTATGCCCTGGTGCCCACACATGCCCCATCTCTGAGCTGGGGTGCAGGAGCTTGTGGTGCTTGGCAGCTGCCAGGCTGTCCCTGGGTGATGCTTAGAGGACTCCTGTGGTGCCAGGGATGGAACTCGGGCCACGCCGTGCAGGCAGTGTCTTGTCTCTTACACTATCTACCTGGCCACTAAATTTTTTATTCCTCCTTTGGGGCTGGAGCAATAGCACAACGGTAGGGCATTTGCCTTGTGTGCAGCTGGCCGGCTGAGCCGGGTTTGATTCCTCCGCCCCTCTCAGAGAGCCCGGCAAGCTACCGAGTGTATCTAGGCCGCAATGCAAAGCCTGGCAAATTTCCCGTGAGGTATTTGATATGCCAAACACAGTAACAAGTCTCACGAGGGAGATGTTACTGGGTCCGCTCGAGCAAATCGATGAACAACGGGAGGACAGTGCTACAGTGCTTCCTCCATTTTTTTTTGTAGGAGTACTGCTATTTATTCAGCCACTGATTAGCTGATTGAATTGTGCATGAACTCCACCTTACTTTTTTTTCTTTTTCCATTTTTTTATAATTTTATTTATTGAATCACCGTGAGAGCAGTTACAAAGCTTTTGGGTCTAAGTCTCGGTCATACAATGAAACACCCATACCTTCACCAGTGCCCATTCTCCACCACCAAAAACCCCAGTATACCCCCATCCCACACTCTCCCCCTCCCTGTGGGGCAGATGATTTCCACATTACTCTCTCTCTACTTTGATCACATTCAATATTTCGACACCAGACCCACCATTATTTTTTGAGATTTTACCCCAACACTCAGATCTGCTGAAAAGGCAACAGTAGACAATTTGTTTTCTATTGCTGGTTATGAATAACATATGATGTCGTGTGGCTGCAGTAGTGGCCGCGGGATTTTGAAATTCCGAAATTTTAACACTTACATCTGGAGGGATTTCTGCCAAAAGCCACTGGGTTTTGAGATCTGCTCCTGAGTCTCTGGGAACATGGCCGTTGAGCAGCTTGATGAGGAGCCAGAGAGGCCATTCATGGGCGATGACTTGGGGTCTCTCTGGGGTGGGGAGGACAGGCTCGGCTCCACCCCATCCCGTGAGGCCCAACAAGTTTCATCACTGCGGGTCCAAGCCTAACTGTCCAGTGGCCTCTGGAGGATGATGGCTACAGAGCCGCCAGAAGGAAACAGGCGGAGGGACAGCACCCTTTCCCCCCTGGGGTGGCCCAGCAACAGTAACCTACTGTGGGATCCGGACACATTTCTGCCAAAAGCCACTGGGTTTCAAGATTTGTTTCTGAGTCTCTGGGATCAAGGCCGTTAGCAGCTTGATCAGGAGCCAGAGAGGCCGTTCGTGGGCGATGACTTGGGGTCTTGTTGGGGTGGGGAGGACAAGCCCGGCTTCACCCCCATCCCATGAGGCCCTGTGTGTCTCTTCACTGGGGGCCCAAATGTGACTATCCAGTGGCCTCTGAAGGATGGCGGCCACTGGGCCGCCAGGCAGAATAGGCCAAAGCACGAAACCTATTCCCACCTGGGTTGGCCCAGCACCAGTAGCCTACTGCAGAGACCGGACGCATTTCTACCTAAAGCCACTGGGTTCCGAGATTCGTTTCTGATTCTCTGGGATCATGGCCATTAAGCAGTTCAATCAAGAACCAAAGAGGCCTTGCCTCCAATTATATAGCTGAGCCAGAGGTGGTTTGTGGGTGTGTTTCCCACATACCTAACTTTTGGCCATTTACTTTCTTGGTAAACTTTGCCCCAAGTTTTTGGTGTCTGGCCAAAGGAACAGCAGCAATTTTGGGGTATCTGGAGGTCTGTAGGCGCCATCAGGCTGCTGATGCACTCGCCTCACCGGAACAGATTGACCTGCTGGCAGCACCATACTCCCTGCTTCCTCCTTTTAAGGATAATCAGAAACATTTCTTCTCTTTTAAAAAAATCCAACTAACTCAATATGTCACAGTGGTAGAAAGTGTTAAACTAAATCCAGCCAACTTGGCTACTGTCACAGGCTAGCAGGTCACTGTCCCCTTTTCCCTACTCAGACAACCCAACAACTGAGCTACACTCAAACTAAGATGAAATTATTGCAGACATGATGCGGGAATGGCCGCGCGGCCAAGGAACCCCTCGGGATAGGTCCAGTGCTGTTCATTCCGGGAACACGGTCCCTGGCAGAAGTGAAAAGCAGGCATGGCATCTAAGTGTCCACACTCTTAACACGCACAAAATAGGTTCACATGTGACTCTTCTCACTTATGTTAAGAGTTACCATAAAAAAAAAAATGAGGGGTCATCCCTAGTTGTGCTGAAGGCTTACTCCTAGCAGGAGAAAACCATAGTTCAGAAAACCATATATGGTGCTGGGACTGAACTCCGGTCCTACATGTGCAAGAAAAATGTTCTACCTGCTGTACTAAGTCTCTTGCACCACCACAAAAAATTTAATTTGGAAACCAAAAGTGTACAGAATGGAACCTGGAGGTGAATATTCTTGGTTTAATGTAGGGTCAACACAAATGCTAATCTTGCATGCATTAGATTTTATAGTACAGTATCAAAGGAAGAACTGTTCAGGCATCCCTTATCCCATTGTCTTCAGAAATGTTTTACAAAGCCCCCACCAGGTTCGCTTTCATGGCAAACAAGACCAAGCAGAGAGCTTAGGGATGCCTTCTAAGTTTCCCAGGCAGAGTCAGGCTTGCAGATGAAGCAGTGCAGTGATGCTCGGCTCTGGTCTTCTTCCCATTCAGAAGCTCTGCGGGGCCCCATGCAGATGGTGACTGAGATCATGATCCTGACCCTCTGTGTCCTGCTCGCTGCAGTGTTCTTGATGCTCCTCCTGCGGAGACACACCTGAGAGGTTGGTCATTTGGCAGCTTTCGGGGCAGCTGGTAGAGGACAATCATCACCATTTCCTGCTCTGCTCTGAGTGTTTATGTACATTTGTTTTCAGTTGCTGTGATTTTTTTTTTCTTTCTGTTTTTTTTTTTTCCTGGGAAGGAGAAGGAAGAGGAGGGATCAGATAGTAGGATTTAAGAATTAGAAAATAAAAGCAACCAAAACTTAAAGCCATCTGTAATACTACCCCTCTCAAAGTCAATGCCTGGGGTCTTTGTTTAGTGGGGTTTTTTGGGGGTTGTTGGGCCACACCTGGTGATTCTCGTGGCTTACTCCTGGCTCTGCAATCAGAGATCGAGGACCATATGGGATTCTCAAGATTGAAGCTGGATTCATTGTGTGCAAGGCAAGTGGCAACCCGCTCTACTATTGCTTAGACTCTTTTACTACTATGCATTTATTTTCAATTTGCAAAAAGGGATCGTCACAAACTATTCTATGAACTATTTTCCACTCCAAATCTTCCCAGAAACAGTACTTAAGCTAAAAATCACCATCTCAGTACTGTTCTATACATGACAATCAATTATCTATAGACAAAATTCAGGCAACCAGGGCAAAGCATTAGGTGGATACCAAGTAAATGAACATCCACTTAGATCCTTTTCTGAGATGAGCTGGGGAAAAAAAAATCGCCAAATCTTATTTTCAAAAATACATCTTTAGCTTCATTATTTCTGTATTTAAGACAAACTTTTGTTCATTTTTAGTTTTGGAGATCACACCCAGCAGTGCTCAGGGCTGACTCCTGGTGGTGCTCAGGGAACATGGGTCAGTCACATGCAAGGCAAATACCTGAATCCCTGTTATCTCTGTTACAAGACAAAAACAACAAAAACAAGAACAAAAAATAAAACCAACCTGCTTATGCTAAATTCAATTTCCTTTTCTCAATAAATTACCTCAAAGAAATTTTATGGATTTAACTTAGAGCTTTTCTGTTGCTGAAAGAATTCAAACGTGAGTGCTGACTACAGCTCACAGTATCCCGAGAATGAACACACTACCTTGAACAAGCCCCGCCCACAAACTTCACTTGAAATGCACTTGGCTGCTGGTGATCATAGTGGTGAAGCACGTCTTCTCTTCCAAGCTACCATTGAATGTTAGCTCAGAAAAATCTGTAACAAGAAACACAGAACTTACTGGCTTTTCTACCACAAGTACAAATGAACTTTTATAATAATCAAAAGCAGCTGAGGGCCTGGGGGTAGCACAGCAGGGAGGGTGCTTGCCTTGCATGCAACCAAGCCAGGTTCAATCAGCACCATCAAGAGTACCCACTGAGCATCGCCAGGTGTGGCCCCGACACAAAACAAGGTAGTCGAAATCAGTGTTTCATCATTTTCTGAATATGGTCTCCTTCTAAACTTGCACTTGAGCTGTTAAACTCTCTCCAGCCCTGACTTCTAATTTTCTAGAGCTTCCTGCCTTTTTATTATATAGAAAAGATGGAACCGTCACCAGTTTCTTTAGGACTTAACAGTTCAACCATCTGAGCAGAGAGGCAGACTTTCTAGTTGAGGGAGGTTTTATACATATATATACATATATACTCTGGTTTCTCTTCAGATCGCATATATATATCACAACATATACTTTTGGGGAGAAAGAATAAATATTTTCTGGAAATTCTACAAGTATCAATTACAGTTACTCCCCAGCAAACTGGTATGGGCCATTAAAGTCTTCTATTTTGCCTTAAACCGCTAAAATTTGATTTTGCGTAACCCTTGCAGTACTGGAAGGCCCTCACTCGACCCTTACACGTAGAGGACAGCTCCATATGGAGAAGCAGCATATGTATGAAACTTCTTGGGGGACTTACCGAAGGAGGGCAGTTTGGTGAGAGCTAGTTACATAAAGACCTTACCTATCTCTAACTGACATGGGCCAGGTTGGGGGAGTCTTAGAAACCAGCTGATGGGGGTCTCACCACTGCTCAGTCTGCCCACCAGGATATACGGAGTAAGTGGCATTTCCACTGGGTGACCTCTCCCCCTGCCCTACTGTAATGTGCTGGCTGACCCCTCTCCCATGGCCCTGGTGATTGTCCCTCTGTTCAGGATGAGGAGGGTGCTGTTTACTGCTCCCCCCAACCCCGAATAAGTACACTGTGCACCTAGAGTTCAGGAAAATTAATTAAAACCAGGCACAAGAGTGACAAAAATGATCAAAAATAATCACTGTTTATTTTCCAGTGGAAAACCTTTTTCTTTTTTGGGCCACAGCGGTACGTTCAGGCCTCACTCCTGGCCCTATACTCAGATCGTATGGAGTGTCGGGGATGGAACCTGGGTCAGCTATATGCAAGGCAAATACCCCACCTGCTGCACTACCTCCAGCCTCCAGTACCACAAACCCTCCTTACCGACTCTGGGGGAGTTCAGATGGTCCACAGGCAGGCTGTCACTCAGCTGCCAAACAGTTTTCACCTTCTTGTGACCACTATTTATTTCCACTCTCCATTTCTGTGGCTTCTCACTAAGAAAAAAAGATCAAAGTTGGGCTGGGGCCGGGAGTGGGGGGTCCAACCATGCCCTTTCCCTACTGCCTCCATTTTACACCGCGTGACAAAGCTCCAAGCCCCCCACCGCAGTCACAGGGCGTGGGAAGAGGCTTGAGGGCAGAGCATGCTGCGGACCTGCGTGGGAGCCGGGGCACCCCAAGAACCCCGACCACTCCCACCCAGACACTGTTGGGAGCGACCCCCACAATAGCAGCAACTACAGAATAGCAGAGTCATGAGAGGGAGGGAAACTAGGATAGGAATGAAGATTCTGGGAGGAACCTGCGTGGCCTCAGAGGAATGGATGTGGAAGGAGGCCCTGGCAAGGGTGACCGAGCTCAGCAGGGGACTGCAGGGCGAGGACAGGCCCCGGTGGACATGGGAGGGCATGGACACTGTCCTCAACTGAAAAGGGCAGAAGCCAGTAGTGGGGGCCCAAGGGCTGGGGGCACTGAAGCAACTGAAAGCCATTTCGATAGGAGGAAGCGGGGGATTCGGATCTCAGGAAGGTCAAGGAGCAGGTGAAACAGAAAAGATCACCTGACCCTCCATATGTAGATGTAAAGACCAGGCACTGCAGCAGGCAACGATGGCATGCAAGGAGACGCTGAGTGAGGCATCTGTAAGGAGGAAGTGGCTACTGTGTACAGGGGCGTAAGGAATGCGAGTGACATGTCACACCCCAATTTGTTTGGGGCATTAGGTGAAGATTAGCAATGGTCGCCTGAGCAGAGACTGAGCCTGTGTCGGGAAGGGCCTTGGGTTCTGAGCCCGCACGTCTACAGGACACTGGTGCTGGTGCTGAAACCTTGCACAGGCACCCAGGGACCTGGGCCGTCAGCTCTGGAGCACAATGGAGATGCGAGCTGTCACCTATTGAAATCCCAAAGCAAGTCAAGTGTTGAGCAGGAATGTAATCAGTCACACAGAAAAGAGAGCAGAGGGGACAGTTCCGGTGAAAACTCAGATGAGGCAGCAAAGGAAGCACTTGAGAGGGATTCTCAGTGGGACTGTGACTCAAGGGGTAGAGCACATCACACATGTCCCAGGCCCTGGCTCAATGCCCAGTACCAAGTGGGAGGAGGAGGAGAAAGCGGGACGAGAAGGGAGAGGGAGAAGAAGATGAAGAAGAGGAAGAGGAAGAAGAAGAGGAAGAAGGTGGAGGAGGAGCATTCTCAGTCTTGGGAGTGCAGTGAGAGGTTGAATTCAAAGAGATGTCTACATGACAGAATAATGGACGGCCCAAGTTCAAATGTTGAATGGTGAAAGTCTTAACAATCTCTTTATTAAAGGAAGGAGAATTGGTGGACTAGTTCTTACATGAGAACTACCCCCCACCCCTCGGCCCCACGAAATCCACTTTGGGTGGGGGTGTGAGGGCTGGAACACTTCCCAGTGAGTTGCTCAGAGCTCATACCTGCTGTCAGGAGACACAGAGCCTAAGTATCAGTCCCTGAAGCTATCTCCCACCCTTGAAGGTCACTGGTGACATCTGCTAAGCAACTCTGAGGGTGCTGACAAGCGAGGAGAGAAATGAAGAGAGGGAGGGAGGAAGAAGAGATTTTTTCCCCCCATAAAGGCCCTCCCGTTGATCGTTGATTTGCTCGAGCGGGCCCAGTAACGTCTCCATTGGAGACTTTGTTGTTACTGTGTTTGGCATATCGAATACTCTCGGTAGCTTGCCGGGCTCTCCGAGAGGGGCGGAGGAATCGAACTTGGGTCGGCCATGTTGGCCGCTTGTAAGGTGAATGCCCTACCCGCTGTGCTATCGCTTCCCCCATAGATTAATTTTTAATAAAATGTTACAAAAGTATCATTAGTCGAAGAATGATGCTCAAATGACTAGATATGCCCAGAAGAAAAAAAAGCATATGAACAAAAATCCTCATGCCATATACAAAATTTAACTCCATATATATCAAAATCTAATTGTGAATAATAAAATAAATACAAAGGTGCAAATCATTTTTCCTTTGGGTTATACAGTCTTTTCTTATATGTGGCAACCAAAGTATGAACACTAAAGGAAAAAATCAGTTAATGTTCATTAAAATCAAGAATGTTGTATTTTCAAATGACACCAACCAAGAAAGTGAAACCAACCCACAGAAAAAGACAAAGTATTTGCAAGTCATCTATCTGCTTAAGATTAAGTGTATGGAATATAGAAAATTCAAGAAAAAAATTTTTAAAAAACTGAATTAGAATTTGACAAATGACAGGGGCTGGAGAGATAGCACAGCGGGTAGGGTGTTTGCCTTGCACGTGGCCGACCCAGGTTGAATTCCCAGCATCCCATATGGTCCCCTGGGCACCACCCGCCAGGAGTAACTCCTGAGTGCAGAGCAAAGAGTAACTCCTGTGCATCCCCAGGTATGACCCCCCCCCAAAAAAAAAGACTTTGACAAATGACAAAGTACTTAAAGACTTAAAGGAACATTTCTATCAAAAGGTTATATAGCTAGCTAAGAAAATTTTTACACTGAAAATTAAAAAAGGTTAATGACAGTAGCTATTAGAGAAATACAGGTCAAAACCACATGGCTTTTAAATTTATTTATTTGTCAACTTTATTATTTATTAAGTTTACTTATTGTTCTTTTTTTCTTTATTTTTTAAATTATATTGAATCACCGTGAGATAGTTATAAGCTTTCATGTTTGGGTTACAGTCACACAATGATCAAACACCCATCCCTCCAGAGTGCACATTCTCCACCACCAATATCTCCGGTATAACCCCCCTTTCTCACCCTTCCTCTGCCTCCATGGCAGACATGATTCCGCATAATCTCTCTCTACTTTTGGGCATTATGGTTTGCAATACAGAGCCTGAGAGATTATCATGTTTGGTCCTTTATCTACTTTCTGCACACATCTCCCATCCCGACCGATTCCTCCAGCCACCTTTTTCTTAGCGATCCCTTCTCTATTCCAGCTGCCTTCTCCGGAAGGAGAGATTTGAATAGGAGAGATTTCGCCCACGGTGGCTCCTCAATGTCTGAGGAGGACAGAGTCATCACGGCCCTTGCTGCCCACACAGGCACACCTCTCATTCTGCCCTCTTATCCGGATCACTCCCTCTCTGTCTCTTTTACCAACCTGCTATTCCTTCTGTTCTGTCTAGATGAGATTACAAAGGGAGAGAACGACAAGAGCTGAGAGGGCGAGCAGAGAAAGGTCTGGGAAGAGGCAGGAGAAGCCCACCAGACAAAGAGCCCCCTGGAACCAACACTGAAATGGTCGCACAAGGCCCAGGTGAAACACGGGCCACCAGGCCATTTACCTCTGGTACAAATCCTTTACGGCGGTTGGTCTGACGGGTAGCTGAAAGATGTGCTGCTCATCAAGAGGGTTTTGTTTGTAATATTTTACACAGGATCTTAAAAAAAGAAAGAAAAAGACTTCTTTTAGAAAAGCAAGCCACTTGGTGATCAAACTTTTTTGGTGGTCTAAACCTCACAAGGGCAATATTGTACTGAGTAACAGCCAATGCATCAGTAAGAGTAAACTCCAGGCCAGACAAGAAAGTAGTAACTCACGGACCCCTACCAGACCCAGAGATGCATGTTTTCTTTCACAAGTGATCTCAAAATGATTTGCCTCAAAATGAACAGGCACATTCATCAAACAAAAATTTTTTTTTGGGTGAGCCTGAGTAAACATTAAACGTGTAAAAACAAGAGGCCAGGAAGGTGAAACACATTTCCGTGATTTCTGAGTAATACAACACATATAATTTTCCAGTCTTGTTTCTGGCTCCCCGGCAGTACTGGGGGGCTCCTGAAAGCAGGTGCTCAGCCCACTCAGCCATCACTCCCATCTCTCCCTTTCTTAAGGGAGAAAAGTTCTTTTTGATTCTGCAAACAGGAAGACTTTCATGCTTTCACCCTTACAGCTGAGGCCATGTCTGGTTTAGAAAAAGACTGGCAGACTTCTTTCCCTCGAGATAAAGGGTTCCAGGCCAAGGCCCAGATCCACATTGGGAACTGGACACTGGCAATCTGGAGTACGTGGACCTGACTGACCAACTGCAACCAGGCTGGCAGAAGGAGCCCGCAACTCTTATTCTGGGGGTCATATTCATCAGCGCTCAGGGGTTACTCCTGGTGGTGCTTGGGAACCCTACGCATGCCAACAATTGAACCGGGGATGCTGGATGAAAGGCAAGCGGCTTATCCACTGTATTATTACTCCAGTTGCCCTCCCAAATATAGCAACTTTCGTGGGGCTCAATGGCAGGGCACCTGTGTTTTGCAAACATGAGGCTTTGGTTTCTGTCCCTGGCACTGTCCCGAGGCATAAGGGTCATTCCCAACACTCCTGCCTCCACGTGTGGGGTCCCAGGCACTGACGCAAAGATAGCAAAGGAAAATTCATCAATCACAGCGATATTGTTGACAGAGTAACAGTATTTGATCTACACTGATATAATCAAGATGGTTAACTTGGCTCAAATTGTTCTGTTTAGTTTTTGGGCCACAGTCCTGGCAGGCTTGGGGGACAATAATAGGGTGTCACAGACTGGAATAGTGTCAGCCCTGTGCAGAGAAAGTGCCTGCTGTACTATCCAGCCCCAATATATTCTCTTTATAGACGAGAACCCAAGATTCAGTGCAAGAAAACTTCCAGGAACCTAGGAAGTGCTAAAACTGGTACATCTTATACCTTAGCTGTAACGATTTAGAACCGGAGTTATTTTCATGTAATTAAAGAATAAAATAGTACTTACTGTGTTAAAGAAAAAAGCTGCTCATGTTGAAGATGAATGAAAAGCTTGCAACTGACCAATATTTCTAGAATGTGGTGGAGTTTTTGAACATGATAAACCTGTTCTTGTATATCTACGGATGGTGAAAGAAAATATTCCTGGAACGAAAACAAAGCAAGCAAAGAACAAATCGAATCGTTGGTAAGAATCTGGTGGTGGCTACAAAACTAACACTAAAATTTTAGACGCTTCATTTCCTGAGACGAAATATGACAGAATTTACCACCTTTCAATAGTATCCTTCAAGTGAGCTATAAATAGAATTTTCACAGAAATTATGTGTTTGTTTTGGGGCCAGTCTTATTAGCAGTGCTCAGGGCTCAGTTTTACTGGTGCCAGAGATGGAATCTGGACATCCTGCATACAAACACTCAGCCCACTGAGGACTCTCTCCAGTCCTGAGGACGCTTTGAGTAAAACATATTCTCTGGTAAACACAGAACTTCTTCACCAAGGAGCCCCAAGCTGGCCAGTGCCCATCGCACCCCTGAAAGAATGCATAGTGAACCCACAAGATGATTCTTCATCTCATACTCTGGCTAGGTTGTTGGGAGTGATTATTTCTAAAGAGGAGTAAACCCGAAGTAACAAGAAGCTGAGCAGTAAGTAACCAATGATATTCCGCTCAGTTATCACTGGCAAACGGCTACAACCCTTTGGAAAAGGAATTTGGCGAATTAAATTAAGGATCATAAAGTGCTGAGGTCTTCTAGTTCTTTTTTTAAAAGCTCACACTAAAAAAAGGGACCTGAGAGAGAGCGCAGGGATTGAGGTGCACCTGCCTCGCATGTGGCTGACCTAGGGGATGCCACACCCCTGGCCCTCTGAGCTTGCTCAGTGTTGGATAACATTGGGTTGTCCTTGCTCCTCCCTTAGGGAGCTTAGGTTTATTGAGTTACTCCCACAATAGTGCCCCAGAGGCACACCAATTCCATCAGGCACCAATAATCCTATATTGCTTTTTTGCTTTTCTCTTTGATTTATGTCACCTGCATGTTTTAGCAATGTCCTTTTTGAATAGACACTGGAAGACAGTTGATACTATGCCTTGTAACATGAGAGTTAATTGACTCCAAATAATTTTTACTCCTGGACATCCATCATATTTACCTGACTTAAGCCTCACTTGCCCTTACTCCCTAACACCCCCAAAAGGAGGGTCCCGACAAAGGGACTGAATGGACCCAGGGCAAGCTGTAACCTACCCTGGCATCGAAAGGGGACAAGCTAAGCGCTATAAGTATAATAAATTAAGAACATGGTCATGGAAAAAACTCTGCCATGACCCAAAAGGAAGTAACTGAATAAGGTCCTTGCTGGGGTTAAGAAAGACTGGTCTTTTGTCCCTCTATCGAGGGAATGGCTCTTGGCCACTGATTTTTTTTTCTTTTTAATTTTTATTAGTGAAACACCATGAGGTACAGTTGTAGACTTAGAAATTTTTGTGCTTGCGTTTCAGTTATACAATGATCGAGTACTCAACCCTCCACCAGTGCTCATTCTCCACCATCAATGATCCCAGTAGCCCTCCCCTCCTCCTCCCCAATCCTACCTCACCTCTGGACACCAATTTTTTTTTTTTAAACTCACAGTCAGGAGTAAGTCCTGGGCACCATCAGGCCTGACTGAAATACCAAACAAAAAACAATACTAGAGAATTTAGTGGGAAGAATACTATGATGGTCTCAAGATTTCCAACACTGGAACACACATTACACATTGTCCCTTGAGTGGCGTCAGGCCTATGAATAGATGGGACACTGTCCATCGACCTTTAGCCCTGCACTGTGCCAGGTATCAAACCCAGAGCCTCATTCTGCATTTCAAGGGGACCATATATGGTGACAGGAATAGAACTGGGTTGGCTACATACAAGTGCCTGGTCCTCTGAATTACTCTGTAGCCATCTAAATTTGTGGGGTGGGACCAGACCTAACAGGGCTGAGACGCTTCTTGCTAAGCTCAGGGATCACTTCTGGTGGTGCTCAAGAGATCTTAAATGATGTAGGGGCTTGAACTGGAGCCATCCACATACAAGGCAATACTGTACTACCTCTCTCAGTCTTCTTTCTTTTTCTTTTGGAGGGGTGTCACACTTGGTGGCAGTCCTCAGGGCTTATTCCTGGCTCTGCATCCAGGGATCACTCCTAGCGGGGCTCAGTAGACCACATAGGCATATGGGGTGGTGGGAATTGAACCCAGGTTAGCCATGTGTAAGGCAACGCCCTACCTGCTGTACTCTGGCTCCTTCATACTTTAATATTTAAAAAAAGGCGTCATTAGGGCCGGAGCGATAGCATAGTGAGTAGGGCATTTGCCTTGCACGCAGCCGACCTGGGTTCGATCCCCGGCATCCCATATGGTCCCCCAAGCACCGCCAGGAGTAATTCCTGAGTGCAGAGCCAGGAATAACCCCTGAGCATCGCTGGGTGTGACCCAAAAAGAAAAAAAAAAGAAAAAAAAAGGCGTCACCTCCAGTGGTGCTGTGGGGTGGGGATGGATGGGCTCTGGGGTCACTGCTGGTGATGTTCAGCCAGGCAGCACAGTCTGATGCCCAGGTGTCTCAGGCTGTACCCTGCGTTGCTCAGGGGATCACTGGGTGCTGGGCCTTCCGTGAGCATCTCCCTGACCCTCTTATGTTTTATAAAGTCAAATTAATTAATACTTAAATTTGTTTTCTGAAAAGAGCTTCCATTTCAATGTCCAGTGTCAGTATGGCCAGTCTTCCGCTCACTCTCTTAAAGCCTACACACATCCTTACACACGTGAGCACACATTCCCACCTCTGAAACTGTGACTCTGAAACCCAGAGGTAAATTTTGAATTATACATTTAAAAAACATAACGGGTTCTTTGGTAAGTAATCCTTTATATCTAACAGACTTGGGTCAGAATACGAAGGCCTTCCCTTAGATCGGCTAGTGCTGCTGGGAGCACATCAGGACTCACTCAGCACCATTGGCAGGTTCTTGAAGATGAACTTAGAACAGAACCAGGTATAAAGTACAGTAGAATGGGGTTTTGAAATAATACCATTTAACTGAATGTTGGCGGGAAGTGTTTCTTTCTCATCAATTCTATGACAAAATAAACTCTGAGGACCAGATATCCACCAGCTTTCCAGGGTACAACTATATATTAGAACCAGAATTTTGTAGAGTACACGTAATGACCAAGGAACGGCCGTTCTTTTGTCTGAGTTACCAGATAGTCGTGATTAAGGACACTGACTGTCCAACTTCTATCCCAGGGTCCAGGACATAACTGCCATATGACAGGTCTTCAATATATGAATGGAAAGACTAAAGAAAAATCAAACATACTCACCAAATGATTCAAAGAGGCAAGTTCTTGACCTATCAAGAAAAACATGTATGCAAATAAGTTTTAGGTACTATTACTTATAAAGAAATCTAAGAAATAATTTTTATAGTTCATATATAAATAAGATGTGTGGGACGAAAGAGATAGTAGGGCACAGAGAGCACTTGCCTTGTGTAGGCAAACCTGGCTAACCTGGGTTTGATCCCCGGCACTCCATTTGGTCCCTGAGCCCTACCAGGAGTGATTCCCAGGCACAGAGTTAGGAGTGAGCCCTGAGTATTATCAGGTATGGCCCCAAAACAATCTAATTTATAATCTGATAAAATCTAAAAATGTTTGGGGAACCACTTCTGATACCATGTAAGCTCATCTACCAACCTTGCTCCAGAGACTCAAATAAATTTTGGAAGAGATTAGCTTGCTACAAAAAATGTTCTCAGACACCCGATCAGGCTAAGATATCTGGGACACCCTGAAGTGGGGGCAAGTTGGTCCAGTGCCCCACCAAAACAGAGCCCCCAACCCACTTGCTCCCACACTGAAAAATCTCCACCATGTCTCTGGCCAGACTCCGCTGTCTCAGAACTGAGTCTCACCTAGAAATTAAACTGCTGAGAATTTGGGTATGCAGGTCTTTGTGACTGAAATCTGCTAACTTCCTCGAGGTTGGAATAGACTAACTCCCCCCACCACCCTATACTTCCAGAAGTCCAGGCAGTCACATCCACACCCCAAGGCCTCCACCTGGTTAAAAATTCAGGACTTCCTGGAGTGTGAGGCCACTTTGCGGCGGCGCAACATCTCCAAACTCTACAACACTGATTATCCAGTAGTAGCAGACCAGATTGTATGGGATGTAACACAGAAGGCAACCCATCTTGATTAACCAAACAGTAATACAGAAGGCTTAATCTGTAACAACTTTTTAGTAATCTTATACAAGACTAATGTTTCCATAGTAGATACAATTTACACTAACTTTCTTCTAAGGAAATATATTTTGATCACCCCATTAGAAATTTATCAGTAACAAACACTATCAAGCAAATTACTGTGGGCCTATTATGGAGGAAGGCTTGAGGGGTAAAATTGGAGGCAAAAGTGACAATGGTGGTGGGACTGGTGTTGGAATAGACAATGCCTGTAACAAATCATCACGAACAAGTTTGCAAACCACAGTGCTTATGAAAAATGTAGGAGACGCATTTACATAAGTAGGCCTTACCTATTTCATGTAAATTCCAAAATATATTAGCACAGATTTAAAAAAAAATTTTTTTATTAATGACAGGTATGATTACCATAATGAGATCCAAATATAAAATAAGATTTAATGCAATATATCTTAGATTCCAGAAATCTTGCTTATGTAAATGAGAAGGAATACTTTATTGTATTGTATCAAAGGGTTTTATTTTACTTGTTTACACAGGTAAAATCATATAGTAGCCACAAATTGGCTCTTACTGGTTTATTTTCTGTTCATTCTATTAGCCATTTTTTAGTTTTGCTGGAGCAAATAATATAAAGCAGATTTATATTATAATTTTGTTATAAAATAAATTTGTTATTTGCCTAAGAGGGCAGGTTGGGGATGGGAAGGAAAATGGGAACATTGGTGGAGGAAAGGTCACACTGGTGGTGTTGGAATATAAATGTCTGAAGCAACTGTATAATGAACAACTTTGTAAATCAGTGCTTTTAATAAAAATAAAATTTTAAAACAATGTTTGACTAAAAACCGAAAATAATGTTATCTTTAATCTACTATTTGAGTGAGGGAAAAATCAGGACTCAGAGAAAAAACTGCTTATTTCACAGAAAGCAAGACGCAAAGTTATCAAACCAGACTGTTGGCACAGAGGGTAGGGTATTTGCATTGCACGCTGCCAACCAGGTTCAATCTGGCATCCCTGAGCACCGCCATGAGTGATCCCTGAGCCCAGAGCTAGGAGTAAGCCCTGAGCACAGTCCCATGCAGTCAAAAACAAAAACAAAACAGAGAATATCTATGGCTGACAAGTATAATGCCTTCTTTTGAACAGTAAAGAAACTTACCTATAAAAAAACTGATATAATCCTTCTTTAGTTTGTCTAACCCAATTTCCAGAAGCATTTGCACGGGGAAGGTCCCTCTGAGAGACACTGGATCCATAGCTCCGTGGTAAGACTGATGGATGAGCTTACTCAGTGAACTGGTACTCCCACTATGAAGCTGTAAGTTAGATTACAAAACAACATAAAAAAATTTCCAAGAAGTAAAATGTATTGTGATGAGCAAAAAAATTATGAACTTGCATTTCAGTCCTTGAACACTATAAATCACTTAAATGCTCACGGCTACAGACAATCTTCAGTGTCATATCTAGGGTTAAGCAGCCATGAAGAGTTTTACACTCATTACCCCTGAGGTGGGTGTGCACTAGTCCTACCTCCACATTACATATGAGGAGCTTGTCACACAGGAGCGGCTGTACTTAGACCCGTGTGCCCATGTGCTGTGCCAATAAGTGAGGCCATTCGGACACTTCAGAACCCACCACCTACCCAGGGCTGAATGTCCCCATGCTGGAGGCTCTGGATGATCAATGTAAAGCACTTCACCAGGTCTTGATAGGAAACCACACCTGGGGAAACAAGCCAGTCCAACATTATTGCAAGATGCTTCTGCAGATGCAATTGGTCATCAATATCAAGAATATGAAAATAAAGGGAAAAGAAGTATCTGTTTATGAATACTTTATGAATAGAGGGTCAATTTCTTTTTTTTATAAAAGCTTTAGGGGCCAGAGTGGTAGTACAGCAGGCAGGGTGCTTGCCTTGCATGTGGCTGGCCAGGGCTCAATCCCCAACATTCCATAGGGTTCCCCAAGCACCTGCAGAAATGATATCTGAGTGCAGAGCCCGGAGTAACCCCTGAGCACCGCCGAGTGTGGACCAAAAACAACAACAAAAGAGCATTGGAGCATTCCTAAGAAGTGAAACTCACTGCCACGAGTAAGAGAAAATATTAAGCTACCATTTTGACTTTTAAAGAATTATAGTTTTTGGCCTGAGGCTTCAACTCGGTGACAAAGCAACTGCCTTGCACAAATGAAGATCTGGGTTTAAGCCCCAGCACTACATAAAGTCAAACAGGGTTTTTTAAGATGTATGCTCTGTTCCAGGGCTGGAGCAATAGCACAGCTGTAGGGCGTTTGCCTTACAAGCGGCCAACATGGCCGACCGAGTTCGATTCCTCTGCCCCTCTCGGAGAGCCCGGCAAGCTACTGAGAATATCTCGCCCGCACGGCAGAGCCTGGCAAGCTACCCGTGACGTATTTGATATGCCAAACACAGTAACAACAAGTCTCATGATAGAGTCGTTACTGGGCCCGCTCGAGCAAATCGATGAACAACGGGAGGACCGTGACTATGCTCTGTTCCTATATGCAGACCATCCAGCGCTAGGATGTGCCATAAGGCACAGGTGGGTATCACAGAAAAGCATCACTAGTGCTGGAGCTCAAGCCAAGCAGGCACCCGAAGCCCTTGCCTGGGTTCGTCTGTCAGCGCCCCTCGCCTGACTCTTGAGCACAAAGTTCCAGGACATTAGGAGAGTGTAATCCGATAGAAGGAGCAGCATTCCACAGGACACAGCAGCACATGCCATGTCCCCGGGACGAATACCTACTCCTGCTCATTTTACACCACAGCTGCTCGGCAAAGTCGAGGTCCTCCCGCACTGTGAAAAGACAGTCGATGGAACGATCAACAGCAGCACTGTCATGCTTCACTGTCTGGAAGAGGACAAGAGTCAGAGAAAAGCCAAGTGTTTGGGTTTTTCTAAAAATTATTATTACTTTAAAGAAGATTTTTTTTTTTTTTGCTTTTTGGGTCACACCCAGCAATGCTCAGGGGTGGATACTCCTGGCTTTGCACTCAGGAATCACTCCTGGCGGTGCTCGGGGGACCATATGGGATGCTGGGAATCGAACCTGGGTTGGTCGCGAGCAAGGCAAACGCCCGACCCGCTGTGCTACTGCTCCAGCCCTAAAGAAGATTTTAAATGCTGCTCTGAGTACAGGGATGGGGTGCCTGCATTGTGCATACCAGCCGGGTTTACTCCCCAGCACCACATAGGAACCTCCCAAGCCCCACCAAGAGTGACCCCTGAATGCAGGGCCAGGAGTAAGCTGCCCTGAGCACCACCAGTGCAGTTGAAAACATCCCTCCTCCCAAAAGCTTAACTTAATAATACCATCTACGGCATGGGAACATACAACCTCAGAGTATATTAGTCTATTAGTAGTCTATTATAGTAACAACTTATATTAACAGTTTTTTTTCTTCTCTGTTTATAGTTAGTTATACACACAAATGTTCGGTTCTCTTTGAAAGCAATCACAGCATTAACGACCAATAAAGAACTACCTGCAAAATGCAGCCTTAGTGGTACTAAACACACTTGAGATGACACACATAAACCAAGGACACCGGTCTATAGAGATAGCCAAAGGGCTGGAGCACAGGCAGGAGGGTTAACCTCTAAGTCTGACCTTTAGCACTGATGGCCCCTGTATTACCAGATGTGTCTCAGAGATTAAGCACTAAACATCAGCCTGCACTTTTAGAGAGTGCAAAAAATAAAAAAATTGGCACAATGCAAATTCCTAAAGCCACTGCGTTTCTCATAATATTCACTTACCTCGGTGTCTGTTTTTGTAGAATCTCCAAGTCCGTCCAGTTTATTTAAGTCTAGGAAGTAGCAGAAGCTTATTAAACCAAGATTTCCGTTTTAGAAGAACTAACAGAGTCTCTGCTTTGCAGATGGTTCTCCTACTCAGCCTGTCTCTGAATGGGAATAAGGACAGTAGGAGTGGCTGCTGGGGAGCATGCAGTCCTCAAGGGCCACCCGAGAGGACCTGAGAGGGCTGAAGGGTGGAGTGGCAAGGAGCAGAGACAGTTCCCAGGACAGTGCTGGGTACACAGTAGAATTAAGATCCCAGTGATGGAGGCGCAGAGACAGGACAGCGGGGAAGGTGCTGGCCTTGCACACAGCTGACCTGGGTTCTATCTCTGGCACCCCACATGGTCTGCCAGGAGTGATCCCTGAGTGCAGAGCCAGGAGTCAGCCCGAGAGCATTCCTGGGTGTGACTCAAGAACAAAACAAAACAAAAAGATTCCAGTTACTTCCTTCTTTTCCTACAAAGTTGTGCATGTAACGTTTAAATTAATGTGATAATGTGATTAGTTCTTAAGATGAGACCATTACCATTAACAAGTCAGGGTTGTCCCTCTGTGGAGACCTCACAGCTTCCTTGCCAGGAATGATCCCTGTTGGGTATAGCCCCAAGCCCCTTACACCCTCCAACCCATGGGCTGGAGCAATAGTACATCTGGTAGGGCATCGTTTGCCTTACATGCAGCGATCCAGGTTTCCCACATGGTCCCCTGAGCACTCCAGGAGTAATTTCTGAGTGTAGAGCCAAGAGTAACCCTGAGCATCGCCAGCTGTAACCCCAAAAGCCAAACAAAACAAACAAAAGAAAACCCCAAAACTTGGGGCTGGAGCAATAGCACAGCGAGTAGGGTGTTTGCCTTGCACGCAGTCAACATGGCCGATCCAAGTTCGATTCCCAGCATCCCATATGGTCCCCCGAGCACCGCCAGGAGTAATTTCTGAGTGCAGAGCCAGGAGTAACCCCTGAGCATCGCCGGGTGTGACCCAAAAAAGCAAAAAAAAAAAAAAAAAATCCCTAAAACTCACCCCCAAAGAGAATACCCAATTAAAAGAATACCCAGTCTAAAAAAGACAAGCTAGGGGTTGGAACGATAGCACAGTGGGTAGGATATTTGTCTTGCACACAGCTGACCCGGGTTTGATTTCCAGCATCCCATATGATCCCCTGAGAACCGCCAGGAGTAATCCCTGTGCATTGCTAGGTGTGACCCAAAAAGCAAAAACAAAACAAAACAAAACAAAAGACAAGCTACATTTAAACAGTTGCACGTAAACTCTCACTAGGAAAAGCAATCTACAAGCACAAGTTAGGAAAGCAGGCACCGTTCAGGAACTCCTGCACAAGGTCAAGAGCAGATTTGGCTTCCAGGGGCTCCAGCCACTCGGTTACTCCGGTCCTCAAACCATCAGCCAAGACCTGCAAAAGTCACAGCGAAAGCAAAATAAGCCCCCTGAAAAGCTTGTTAGCAGGATACATAGTCAAAAGAGATGAACGTAAGTATATCAATCAATACAGGATTTCTTGCAGGTGTAATCCCATGCCAGGAACTGCCCAAGTGCTCTATACGGGTCTGACTACTCAGCCTCAGGGAAACCTAAGGTTGGTGTCACTGTCATCAGCATTGATTAGAGGCCAAGTAAGACTGACACTGGCTCAGGGTCACAGGGTGAGTACTCGACAGTGCCAAGACATCATTCTGCCCAGCAGTATGATGCCAGAGATGCTGGATGCTGAATGCAGACACCAAGAGTCCAGGGCTGAGACTAACTCCAGACTCACGACCCTGTCCCACAGGTGAGGAGCGAAAGGTCAGGTGCAAAGGCCAGGGAACAAAGGTGGCACTGAATGGGAACTCATATCAAAATACAAATATGTAAGCTTACACATATATCCACATCACAGTAAGGAGAAAGGGTAAGAATAAGATGAAGGCGCTAGAAGAACAAAGTGAAACATCACTTCAGTGGGGAGTTCTCCATGCAAGGAGGTGTATGAAGTAAGAGTGGGCTGATTCCAACCAAGGAAGTTAGTAGAGCTAAGATTATAGGGAATAGGGGCGGGGCACGCAGAATGATGTTAAATTTTCAAATTATTTCATATGGAAGATGACAACCACGGTTCATTTTGGGGCAGGGGAAAAACAAATGACACAATTAGTACTTAAGAATTCCCATTAGAGGGCCTGAAAGACAGGCCAGCGAGGAGGACGCCTGCCTTGCAACACAGCTGACAGGGTTTCTATCCCTGGCACCACATACGGTCTCCCGAGTCCCACAGCACAGAACCAGGGTCTGGCTATTGCTATGTGTGTGGCTGACCCAGATTTCATCCCCGGGACCTCATATGGTCCCCTGAGCACAACCAGGAGTGATCCCTGAGCAGAGTCAGGAGTGCTGAGCACTGTTGGGTATAGCTCCCAAACAAAACAGGTACACATCAGTGATTAAGAGGCAGTAATAGCAGGTGGGGCCGGAGTGGAAAAACAGCAGGGAAGGAGCTTGCAATGTATGCAGCTGACCTAAGTTGGATCCCTGGCACTGCCTGGAGTGATCCCTAAGCACAGAAGTCAGGAGTAAGCCCTGAACATCACAGGGGGGTACCCCCCAAAAAACAAAGAGAACAATATGCACAACACCCCAAATATAAACGACCCAGCCATCCACCTGCTAATCAATGGATAACAGAGAAACTCTGTTCTATCTAAGCTGACAACCGAATGGGTCCATTAACTGAGGGAGAGGACAAAACCCAGAGACACATTCTGGACTGAAGCATGAAAGGCAAGTGCCTTACCTGCTACCTGGCAATAAAACATGCTACAAGACATACTAATGTTTTCCACACTGGTGGGTGAGAGTGATGGTAAATGAAATGTTTATGATTGCCCAACTCGGCAGCAATACCGGACACTGAAAAATCAGCGAATTTTAGGGGACATAACTCAGAGCAATGGATAATTTTTTAAGTAATAAAATAGGAAGTAGGGCAGTGACTTTGCATGTTGGGCTAAGACACTGGGATTTTTACTGTATTAAAACGAGGCACCCGGGGCTGGAGTGATATCACAGCGGGTAGGGCGTTTGCCTTGCACGAAGCCTGACCCGGGTTCGATTCCCAGCAGCCCATATGGTCTCCTGAGCACGACCAGGAGTAATTCCTGAGTGCATGAACCAGGATTAACCCCTGTGCATCGCTAGGTGTGACCCCCCCCCCAAAAAAAAAACACAACAAAAACAAAAACAGAATGAGGCACCTTCTGGGACTCAATTTGTCCCACACACCCCTGAAAAAATAGAATTCTTTTTTCTAAGATATACTTTTTGTTTTGGATTTCTAAGCTATTCCTGGTGGTGCTCAGGGCTGACTCCTGACTCTGTGTCCAGGCATCACTCCTGGCCAGGCTCAGGGGACCATATGGGGTGCTGGGGATAGAACTCAGATTGGTCATGTGCAAGGCAAGCACCTTACTTGTTGTACTATTGTTCTTGCATCTCAAAATAGAGTTTTTAAAGCACACACTCATTACTCTTTAAGATCAATCAAAATTCCAGTTATTGAAGTCTGAGAGGTAGTGGTGGATAAAGCCTTGTATGCAGCCAGCCCCAGTCTGAACCCAGGTTCTACCCAAGGTCACCCAGAGCACCACCAGTGGCGGTTCTTGGGTAGAGATAGGAGTAACTACTATCAATGATGACTCAGAAAACAAAAACCAAATTCCAGTTATTAACGAGCAGATTAGATGAGAATAAATTTAAAGGCTGGCTTTCCTGGAAAGAGGGGAATTCGTCACATAAATAAGCATTCTAGACAAAAAGGCAAAGCTAATGCTTCCTTCAATTATATGGATAACCACCACACAGTGCAATGAAACTGTCCAAACCACCAAGTGCACTTAATCATTGCAAAGAACAAGAAACTAAACAGCAATGGGATTAACAGACAAGTGTCACAGAAACAAATCACCAAGTGCATACAAATCTCCAAAGGATACTTACAAGGAGGAATTTCAGTTCTCGGTAGAGATGATTCAAAGGACCGCCAGTCTCTCCCGATTCCACTTTAATATTCTACAAAGTTCCCAAAGTCAGTTTCACTGGTAATCCTATCCTCTCAATGGAAAAGTAAGTTATTTGCATTCCAGTAACCCACACATTAAAATATACAAAGCAATGTGCATGCCACAGAGGTTGGGGAAGGTGGGGGTGGCAGTGGGAGGGATACTGGGAACACTGGTGGTGGAGAATAGGCACCGGTGGAGGGATGGGTACTTGACCACTGTATGACTGTAACGTAATCACGAAAGTGTATAAATCTATAATAGTATCTCACGGTGTTTCATTAAAAAAACAAAACAAAACAAATAAAATAAAATATACAAAGCAAAAAGCACTAGCAAATAAAAAAGTAGGGTGATGCTGCATATAGACACCTGACCCAGGGGTTCGTTAGGTAGTTACTGCTTATCCAATAAAGTACCCACACTTCTGTTTCTGTAATTAGATTTACACAGAACAACTTTCCTTCCATGGACTCCTTCCTTCTCAGTGAATTTCTGAGAGGACTAGAGAAATATTAAAAACAAAAAACCTACAACTTAAGAACCAATAACAGGGGCCAGAGCAAGAGTACATCATGGAGGGTGTTTGCCTCATACACAGCTGATCTGGACTCAATTCCCAGCACTCCATATGGTTTCCAAGCCAACCAAGAGTGATTCCTGAGCGCAGAGCCAGGAGTAACCCCTGAGCATCACTGGGTTTGACCCCCAAAAACAAAAGAACCACCAACAAGCCTACATTATCACTCAATATAAATTCAGGTTCACCTAAAAAATTCACCGATTTCTTAGTAAACCAACAGTGGCTTGTCCTAGATAGATGTCATTCAAAACACTAAAATATATATTTTTAAATGGAGGTTGGGGGATAGTGAAGGAAGAAAAAAGTAAATGCCATTATATGCAAATCCTTCTTGCAGGGTTGTGGCAGGGAAAACATTAAGAACATAATTATTAGGGGCTGGAGCGATAGCACAACAGGTAGGGCGTTTGCCTTGCATGAGGCCAACCCAGGTTCGATTCCCAGCATCCCATATGGTCTCCTGAGCACCGCCAGGAGTAATTCCTGAGTACAGTCAGGAGTAACCCCTGCACATTGCCGGGTGTGACCCAAAAAGAAAAAAAAATTAGAGGAAGGAAAAAAAAAAGAATATAATTATTGGGCTGGAGTGACAGTACAGCAGGGAAGGTGTTTGCTTTGCATACAGCTGACCTGGGTTCAATTTCCAGAATCCCATATGGTCCCCTACGTTCTGCCAGGAGTGATTCCTGAGCACTGCTTGGTGTGGCCCCAAAACAAAAACAACAATCAAAAAGAATGTCATTCTCTTTAGGGAGCCACAATAAAGGCTTCTGTAAATCTGTTTGAAAAGCAGTTGAGGGAATGCAGACCAAAAGGGAAAGCCTATGTCTGACACACAAAACTGAGGTTTGATTGCCGACACCTCAGGTGCCCCCCATTCCCTTCAGCACCACCAGGCCTGAGCACTGCCGGGAAGGGCCAGCCCAGTCTGCAAAAACACGCACAACAGAGGGAAGGAGAGTTCATTGGGCAGAGAATATGCTGTCCCTGCTGAGGCCAAGGTCTGACTGGCGGGAATGAGCACTGTGATGAGCACCTCTCACACTGGGAACACCCCCGAGCACCGTCAGGTCTAGCCCCAAAATGAAAATAAAAACATTGCAGAGTTGATATCTTACAATTTTGTGCTTTTATCTTTCTGCTTGCTGTTAAAGACACTTTAAATCAGGATTTAAGAATAGTAATAATATTTTCTCTTGCTTTGGTTTTTAGGCCACACCTTGTGATGATCTGAGGTTATATTTTGCTCTGTGCTCAAAAATTACTCCTGGCAATGCTTGGGGAACCACATGGGGTGCCAGGGATTGAATTCTGGTTGGCCACAAGCAAGGCAAGTCCTACTGTACTATTGCTCCAACCACCCCCAACCCTCACCCCGCATAATATTTCCATCTTGAAAATCTCTGTCAGTTTTTGCAGTGGATGGGGTTTAGGCCACACCCTGCAGTGCTCAGCGGCTCCTGGTTCTGCGCTCAGAAATCACTCCTGATAATGCTCACGGGACCCTATATGGTGTTTGAGATCAAACTGGAGTTGGTCGCATGCAAGGCAAGTGCCTTAACCCCTGTACTATCCCTGTCCCACAGATTTTGTTAATATTATAGAAACACATTGAATGATCTCTGTACATGTATTGGTGAGCATGTACCAATACAATACTCTAGCTATTCTCTTAAGACGAATAGCTAGAAAAGTAAATACAGGGTGATGGAGTTTAACAATTAGAGGATTATTGATGTGGGCCCCTATTTGTGTTCCTAAAAAAAAGCCAAGAAGAAAAAAAAGCATTTTGAGATTTCAATTTGAGTTCTCATAAAACTCCTTGGGAAGTTTTGGTAGCATAACTGCAGCCCTGTGAGCACTCCGAGACCACACTGAGCGGGGCAGGGGCTGGAGGCGGTGGCTCCACCAATACGCAAGATGTAGCTAGGGATGCGTGCAGACCAGGCACGGGCCCCTGCAGCCGGAGCACTGAAGGGAGCAGAGCGAAGAAGCCCCTGAGGGGACCCCAACACTCTGAAGTTAACACACACACAACACTGCAGCCGTCTCACAGGTAACAGGCTTCCCTCCTACCAGAGTTGCGCTGGAGGAGAGGGGAGGCGCCTGGAAGATCTTCTCCACGGGACTCCAGGAGACGTCCAAGGTGATGAGCGAGCGTGATGAGGCGCCGCAGTCGTCCATGACGCCAGGCTTGAAGAGTTCATACTGCGCAGAGCCCTTGGCCGTGACCTGATGAGGATGCGGTAGACCATTAGCTGCGCCTTCATGCGGTCAAATTGCCAAGCCTGGCCTCATTCTTTTTCCAAAAGGAAAAAAATGTGCCACACTTTTTATCCCCAATGGATAAAAGCACAACGGGTAGGACGTTTGCCTTGCATGCAGCTGACCAGGGTTCAGTTCCTCTGTCCCTCTCTGAGAACCTGGCAAGCTACCGAGAGTATCCCGCCCGCACGGCAGAGCCTGGCAAGCTCCCCACAGCGTATTCGATATGCCAAAAACAGTAACAAAAAGTCTCACAATGGAGACGTTACTGGGGTCTGTGCTACAGTGCGATTTTTAATCACCAAGACTAGCTAAGGAGGGCTGGACAGTACAGTGGCACTTGTTTTGCATATGGCAGCCCCTGTCCAATCCCCAGCACCAAGCAGGGTCTCTCAAGCACCACAGTGGGTCATTCCTGAGCAAAGAGCCAGAAATTATCCCTGAGCACCCCACCCCACCAGATTAACCAAGAAGCAAAAATTGCCACATATTTAATCATTAGTTATGAAAATAAATACACAAAGGCTGGAGGCAGCATAGGGTAGGGCTCTTGCCTTGCAAGTGGCTGATCCAGGTTTGATCCCCAGAACCACATATGTCCCCCCAAACCTCACCAAGAGTGATCCCTTAGAGCAGAGTCAGGAGTAAGCCCTGAGTACTGGTATGGGCCAAAAATTGAAGGGGGAGAGAAAAAGTGAAAGAAGAAAAGAAACACACATTTTGATACTACAGAGCAATATGCAGCCCTATTAGCAGTAAAAGAAATATTAATAAGGAAGGCGGTTAACAGTGTGAGGAAACAGGAGTAGAAGAGAAATACCTACACTGGATGAGTGATGTCTTTTCTTATGCAATTTTTTTAAGTCTTCAAGACTTACATCTTTTTTATCAGCTGTAGGATGGGAAAGAAGAAAAAAAATTTAGTAAATTCCAAAGTCACATTTAGAGTGAGAAAATCTAAATTCTTAAAAGTTTGAAGGGGGCTGGAGCAATAGCACAGCAGGTAGGGCATTTGCCTTGCACACGGCCAACCCAGGTTCGATTCCCAGCATCCCATGTGGTCCCCTGAGCACCACCAGGAGTGATTTCTGAGTGTATGAACCAGGAGTAACTCCTATGCATTGCCGGGTGTGACCCAAAAATGCAAAAAAAAAAAAAAAAAAGTTTGAAGGGGGCTACAACTCAGCACTAATAATAGTTAAAAATTTAGATCATGGGGGCCGGAGTGATAATGCAGCAGTTAAAGCACTTGCTTTGCAAGCAGCAGACCCAGGTTTAATCCCTGGAACCTCATGTGATTCTCAAAACAAAAAGAGAAAAATATATTTAGGCCAATTGGCCCAGTGTCACAGCTTCAAGAGAACATGACACCGCCAAATCTTCCCAGGGAGCCAGGGAGTGTGTGTGTGTGCCTTCCCAGGGATAGGGTGTGTGTGTGTGTGTGTGTGTGTGTGTGTGTGTGCGCGCGCGCGCCTTCCCAGGAATAGGGTGTGTGTGTGTGTGTGTGTGTGTGTGTGTGTGTGTGTGCGCGCGCCTTCCCAGGGATAGGGTGTGTGTGTGTGTGTGTGTGTGTGTGTAGATCTCCCTCTCTGCCTAAAGGCCTAGCAGCCTGGAGCCACATCAGACACCTTGCAACATAGAAAAGGCCCAGCCCCAAACTGCACTTCATCAAAATGCCAGACACCAACTGTTCCAGATCTACACTTCCTGGATTGCAGCCACACAACACCTCAAAATTCCACAGCAGTGTCAGCCCAGCGGGATCACGGTAGGATCACTGATTAGAAAGCTGCACAAAAAAGCCCACCAAGCTCAGTGAGCCCAGACAATAACACAGAAGGCCCCACTAGCACTAACCCGCAGAGCAGATCCTCGGACAATGGCCTTAGTAACACTACTGCCAGATAGGACAATCATCACAGACTGACCACTATTGATCTAAGGTTTGATAATTTCATTTGCTCTTGTGTTTGAATGAAAAATTTGATTGTGCCTGCATGGGGGGAGGCTGGGGTGGTGGGTGGGAAACTGGGAACGTCAGTGGAGGGAAGGGCACACTGGTGGTGGGATTGGTGTGGGAACATTCAATGCCTCAAACAATTGTATTATAGTAAATAACAGGGCTATAATAAAAAAAAATTTTTGGAAAAGTCTTAAACATTGAAAAAAGTTTATGAAAGAATAAAAATGGAATCAAGGTCAATACTACCACCTCAAAATATAATCAAATGCCTACTTCTATATTGGAATCAAATTCTCATTATATTCAATTTTCACCTCCCGTGAAAATTTTAAAAAACACACACAAATTAAATTAAACCTGAACAATAAGTCCTACCTCTTGCCCAATCTCTTTGTTTGTTTTTTGGCCTAGCAGGCAATGCCCAGGGTTACTTCTGGCTTGCATTCAGGGATCACTCCTGGCAGGGCTCAGAAGACTTTACTGGGTGCCAAGGATTGAAGCCGGGTCAGGCAGCATACAAGGCAAGTGCCCTGCCTGCTGTCCTATGTCCCCAGTTCCCACTGCCCAAACCTTTGGAGGTGTTTCTGGTACTCCTAGAGCACCCACATGCTGCAAACAGCACATGGGTCTACTCACGGTGGCTAACACTGTCTTTCTGTCTGCTTGGCCTGGGCTGAAGACTCAACTCAGCAGGAACTTCCTGCATGTGTGAGACCTGGGATGAGTTTCCAGCATCACCCCCAAGCCATTATATGCACTCACAGTCAGAAGTGGAGAACAGAATTACCTCCTCTTCCCCGCCTTCACACTCCTGAAAGTGATGTGTGAGCGCTCACCTTGACAGCTGACTACATACAAGATGATTCCGGTAATGGTGCTATTTGCTGTGACAAGCTCAGCTCCAAGCCAGCAGGTATTCTCAGGATCTGAACCATCACATCTTACCCAAAGGGGAGGAAGGGCAGTAACTGGCTGATCAATCTTCAAATGAGTCATACTAGGATTGTGAGCCATGGTGTAAAATCCAATTAGCTGCCTAGAAAACCAAAGCAGGGAGATTAATTAAGACTAGAGAGACAAGAGACAGGTCAAGAGATTTCAAAGGTTTCATCACTGAGGGTCTCCCTGAGACAAAAGTCAGGAAATGAAGTGGCTGTGAAGTGGTAAAAGGTAGAGCAGGTAGATGAAGACATATATTCCAGGAAGAGGAACTCTGATGGGACTGGAATTCAGTGTGGTGAGATTGAGTGGGAAAGAACAGGGAGAGATAAGAAGTCAGCTAGAGAAACAAGTCACACCATCAGGAAAGATAGTGCAGAGTTAAGGCACTTGCCTCGCCTCAAGGCCTGGTTCTACCCCCAGCACTGCCAGGAGTCACTCTTCAGCATGGAGGCAGGAGTAGCCTGAGACCATTGATATGGCAGAAAAACCAATATAAATATGAATAAATAAATAAGCAGGAGGCTGGGGTGATCCTGGTACCACAGCCACGCTCCAGTCATTAGATCAGTTATGGAAATCTGAATACAGACTGCAAACAGGGACCAGTAGTGGTAAATTGCTAAATTTTGATCAATTGCTCTGTGATGAGTAAGGACATAAACTCATGAGGAAACACACAGAGTTGCTAGCAGTAAAGTAACATAATATCTCCTATAAAAGGCCAAGACAGTACAGGAGTGATAGTACAGCGGGGAGGACACTTGCTTGGCATGCAGTTGACACAGTTTGATCCCCCAGCATCCCATATAGGTCCCAAGCCCTGACAGGAGTGATCCCTGAGTGCAGAGCCAGGAGACAGCCCTGAGCACCAATGGTGCGGCCCCCAGACAAAAGCCAAAGGATGAGATGCGAGCCGAGATATGTCTCAAAGGGGAAAGGTCTTACGAGTGTGCAGCCATGAGTCGGGACTGCTGGTGCCACAAACACCCGCAGCTCTGCCGTCTGGGCCCCCCCAGAGCCCTACGTGGTGTGCCTAGGAATATGTACAAGCAGAGCAACTAAAGCACCCAACCCCGACCAGAATAGCGAGGAAAACTCTGAGCTGCTGGAATCTCATGATTCCCGGCTAGAGGAGAGTGCTCACGCAGCAATTCCAGTGAGCACAACATGCAGAACGTACGGAGCCCAGTAACACAAAGAAGATGGGTGGGAACTGAAAGTGTGCACTCAGCCCAGATAAGGTGAGGCACCACCCAAGGCGGTGTGGACCTCTTCTGAAAAGGAGAAGCTCCCCAAAAGCCAAAAGGCCACGTGAGACTGAGACCATCTGGAGCCCAGGGTCTGACCACACCTCACGGGGCTCAGACGCAGACAGTGCCCTATCCAGGGTACAGCAGCACCCAGAGACAGGAAGGGGACTGTGAGTGAGCGCAGTGGAGATGGGAGCTGTGTGTACACTGTACAAGAAAGCTGTGGGGACTGAAACTTGTGTGAGTGAGGATAGTGGGGAAGAGAATTCAGAGTGATAAAAATGAAAAAAAAAAGTGAATTGGTGAACTTGGATTGAGAATATAATAATTCCTATACTTCTAATTTTTCTCAAAGTTTAGAATTCCCTGAATTTACCAGAATGCATCTTTCCCCCTCAAGTACATGAAAAGCATTTAGTACCATCAGATGTTTTTTAAAAAGTCTACTGTTACTTCAGAAAGAATTATCCCAGAAGGAAGGTTTGGAATGCAGGAAGAGCAAAGAAAGAGTAAGCATATGGAGCAAAGTAAACTCTAGCTGAAGAAAACACAAATAACATACATCAGAGGTTCTCAGACTTACCTGGTCCACCACCCCCTGTGCACAAAAAAAAACAAACCAAACATCTCTCAGGGCCGGCCTGGAAATCAATCTTCAAGCAAACAAAACACCCACCTCCTGCTGTGAAGCCAGTGAACTGCACTCTCCCCCTCAAAGCAGCGTCACACTTTGGAAAACACTGATGTATAGATTGCAAGTGCAGTATAGAAACAAAGACCAATACAACATGAAATCAAGAAGCCTTGAAAGAAATGACCAAATGAGCTTCAGCACAGAAAAACATTTTAAGTTCCACACTGCAGAATAAAAAAAAACCCAAATGAAGAAGAATCCCTCTGTGAAGACCATTACTGCAGTCAGGAGTACTACTTCAGGGAGTCTCTATGTGGGCTCGGGGGTGGCGGGGGCAGAGAAAGCACCTCGTTGCCCAGGGCCGAGCAGAAGTAGCACTGGGGAGGGACCAGTTCGCCTTCTGGAAGCTCCCTGCGTCACAGGGCCGAGCTACTCAGAACAGACAATGGAGGCTTGTGTTGGTCACTCACATGAGATGCGAAGGTCTGAGGCCAGAGTGATAGTCAGCGCACAGGGCTCTTGCCCTGCACATGTCTGGCCCGGGCTCAATCCCCATAACCCAGATGGTCACCATCTGTCAGGAGTGATTAAGTCAGAGTCAGGAGTTATTCCTAAGTCTGTCCAGGTGTGGGGTAGGATGGGAGCGAGAGAAGAGGTTGAGGGGAGGGGAAGAGGAGGCTGGGTGGGGCGGAATGTGAAATTGTGGGTCAGGGAGCTGGCACTAGTTGCCTTGCTTGCAGCCAACCCGAGACTGATCCCTAAGAACAGAGCCAGAGATGAGCCCTGAGCACTGCCACGTGTGGCCCAAGAAAGAAAGAAAACAAACAATACAAAAGCTCAGAGAAGCAAGCTGGCGTGGTCAGTGATTTTACAGATGGCGGCAGGCAGTGGCGAAGGAACACTGGAAAGGAACCACAGACAGGAGGAAAGAAAGGCACAGGGGCATGGAGACAGGGATGGTCACTGCACCCGAGTGTCCATGGTCACCTCTGGCCCTCTCTGGCCCCTGCAAGATGACATTCACTAAGGAGCTGGCCACACAGATTCAGGGAGGCTAGGGGTCCCTGGTCCCCACAGCCCAAAAATGCTTCCCCCCAGCTGCCCCCTCCGTCCCCAAGGAAACCTTACCTTGCCCTCCTGACTGGTAGGGCAAGTGGCCCAACATTCTCACCAGTGGAGAGATCAGAAATGGTTGTTTCTTCAGACGGCAGTTCTTCATCTTGGCTTGTTTCTTTCTTCTCCAAAGGCTTTAAGAATGGTTAAAGTTACTCAGCCAGATGCAGGGATATTTAAGAACCAACTGTTCATTGCGGTAAAAAAAAAAATCACATATGCAGGGCTGGAGTGGAAAGGGCATTGATTTGCCTTACACACAGCTGGCCTGGGTTAGATCTTTGGCACCTCATATGTTTCCCCAAACCGGCCAGGAGTGTTCCTGAGTGCAGAGCCAGGAGTAACCCCTGAGCATTGCTGAGTGCCACCTCCAAACAAACAAAAAAAGCTTCCATTTCCAAACTGTCGAGCAAACTAACTGTTAGCAAGAATCAACATTCCTGAGCACTGTAGATATCGCCTACAACACCCCAACCCGCCCCCTCGTTAGCCCTGTAGTCATCCAAGCACCACGAGAGCATCCAGATTGCCCCTGCCACTGGACCTGGAGCCAAACCGCTGGACTGGCAGGCAGGGAGTCACTCAGCGCAGAACCAGCAGTACCTGGGAGATCCTGTCCTCCCCTTTAAAATCATAACTAAAAACTAAGTTTAGTAACAGTGGATCTTGCCAACAAAAGTATTTTTACTTTATGATCAAAAGACATTGATTTAGGGGATGAAGAGATAGGCACAAGGAAAGTATGCATGCTGCCTTGCATACAGATGACAACGGTTCAATCCCTGGTTCAATCTCCAGCTTCCCATAGGATCCCCTGAGTTCTGACAGGAATAATTCTTGAGTGCAAAGCCAGGAGTAAGCCCTGAGCACTGGTGGGTGTGGCCCCAACACAAAAACCAGAATATAAAAGTTGCAAATTAACAGGGAGTAAGGATTGTAGTTTGTTTTTTTTAATGTACGAGTACTGCTATTTATTCAGCCACTGATTAAGCTCAATGAATTGGGCAAGAACTCCACAGTACTGGGATTGTAGTTCATCTTGTTTCTTTCTATTCCAAAGACTGTAAAAGTCTCAGTAAATATATTTGCATTTTCTGTGCAAACATGAAATTCAAATTTTATGTTTACATTTGAGATTATTCCCAAGAAACCAAATTAGCCCTATTTAACATTTAAAAAACAAAGGGTCAGGGGGACCAGAGCAATAGTACAGAGGGGAAGGCACTTGCCTTGCACATGTTGTACATGATAGACCCGGGTTTGATCCCCAGCACCCCAGATAGTCCCCTGAGCACAGACTCAGGAATAAGCCCTCAGCAACACTCCACTGGGTGTGGCCTTAAAAACAAAACCACTAAGATAAATAAAACCTCACAGGACCCTGGGGCTGGAGCGATAGGGCATTTGCCTTGCACACGGCCAACCCAGGTTCTATTCCACCACCACTCTCGGAGGGCCCGGCAAACTACCGGGAGAGTATCCCGCCTGCACAGCAGAACCTGTCAAGCTCCCCATGGCGTATTTGATATGCCAAAAAACAGTAACAAGTCTCACAATGGAGATGTTACTGGTGCCCGCTAGAGCAAAATGAACAATGGGAGGACAGTGTTACAGTACACAGGGCCCTGGGGGATGGCAGCGTGGCAGAGAATTCCTGCCTTGTAAGCGTGAGGCCAAGAGTAAGAGCCCCAGTGGCACATCCAGACACAGTCCCTGCAGCCCAGCGAGCATGACAACCAGAGAGCTAAAGTAGATGACCCCCAACATTGCCTCAGCTGGGTGTGTCACCTCTTTCCACCCCTCAGCCTTCATCCAACCGCAATGGCGAGAAGAGAAAGAAGGAACACACAATGCAACAAGAAGAGAGCCCCGCGCCTCACCCATCTTCCTGCGATAAATGCAGCCTCGCTCTCATTGAGAATAGCTTCCAGAGGGCTGGGCTGGCCTTTGCGGAGCAGCTGCACCTGGACATCAGCCTGCGAACAAAGAAGCACATCCGCCATGATCTATATGTAAACACATACAGGTGTACAGACATTTAAACACATAAAGACCAGTCCTTTGCTAGAGAATGTAAATATGACTGAGTGTTTAAAAATAAGATTTTAGGGATCAGACAGTATAATGATTAGAAGTACAAGTTTTGCACGTAGGAGTCCTAGTTTTTTTTTTTAAAGAAAAACAAGGAAAAACAAAGATTTCACTTTTTTTTTTTTTTTTGCTTTTTGGGTCCAGTCAATGCACAGGGGTTACTCCTGGCTCTGCACTCAGGAATTACTCCGGGGACCATATGGGATGCTGGTAGTCAAGCCAGGGTAGGACGAAGCATGCAAGGCAAATGTCCTACTGGCTATAGTCCTACCAGCTACTCAGTTATCTCCTTTGCTATTCTTATGCTTATGGGGACAGGTTTTCTCTTTGATGAGGTGCAAAGGACTGAAATACAGGCCTCTTCTACATACTCTACTGCTGAGCCCCAGGCCTGCCCCTGTCCCCACACCCCCCAATCTAGCTTATATCTGGGTTTACTCAGACTTCAGGACCACCTAGAGTGTACCCTGCCATGTAAAATCATTTAGGATTAGGACCACACTGATGTTTCTCTAATTGCTACAACATTTACTACTATATCCCATGAAATGAGCTACTTACTACTTTTTCTTGATTATAAGGTGGAATTCAGAACTTAAACATAGCAGTTTAAAGGAGATGCTAAAAATTTAATTGCATCACTTATGGTCAAAAAGTTTGAAACTTAAAAGTGACTTTGAGAATCAAAGTACCGGAGAGCCAAAGAGCTGGTGTCTGGGCTGAGCACAGAGAAGGGGACCCAAAACAAACAAGTGACAAACAAGAGTCCAGATAGGAGGACTTGGCACATTGACCAGGATATACCTGACTCCTGAGTTTCGAGAACAATCTGAGTAGCAAGAGATAATCTATATTTGTAATTTTGCTTCTGGGTTACTGGTCTGTGTTCTTTGCCTATTCTTCTCTTATGCAGTCTCCTTTTCCTTTATAGCCATTTGTAAGTGAATTAATTTCAGTCAATCCAAAGCTTTCTATTTCATGACCACTGAGTTTAAAAATCGAATTGGTCTTACCTCATAGATAAATGGATCTGTTGGGATTCCTTTCTTTTCTTCATAAAACTCCCTGAAATGCAGAACCACATGTGAAAAACGGAGCCCCAGGTCTCTGTTGCTTAGACTCACAGGTTAGACTGCTGTACGACCATCGAGAAAAGCAACACTGGAGTATTTAAGGCAACACCAAGATACCATGGGCAGGAATGGAAGGGGAAGCTGTGTTGTCTACTCTATTCCTGTAGTTTTTCAAACACATCACCAGTTACTGTAGCACTGTCCTCCCATTGATTTGCTCAAGCAGGGCTTAAAGTCTCCACTGTGAGACTTGTTACTGTTTTTGGCATATCTATACAACACAGGGAGCTTGCCAGGCTCTGCTCTACAGGCAGAATATTCTTGGTAGCTTGCTGGGCTCTCCAAGAGGGACGGAAGAATCTAACCGGGTTGGCCTCATGCAAGGCATTTGTTTGATAGGTAAGTTTGAAACTTAAAAGTGATTTGCCCTACCCGCTGCTCCAACCCTACCACCCTAATCACCAGTTACTACTGACATTTAATTTACCATGACTTTTGGGAAGTAAAAGATGTCTGGGCTTTGGGCTGGAGAGACAGGTTAAGATGCTAGCCCTGCAATGCTACTGAAGCGGGTTTGATCCCTGGAGCTCACAGAGGGTCCCCAAAATACTGCCAGGGTCACTCCTCAGCAGTCAGGATAAGCTCCAGGGCCCCGCTGCCAAGTATGATTCAAATATGCCAACAAAGTCTGGATTCTGACCTGCCCCTGCATCTCTGGGGAATCACAGAGAAACTGCTAGGGGGTTCTAGGTCTTAGCTTCTATGGCTAAAACAAAGCATCTATTCTGTTTATGGACTGTAACTAGAAAAATTATGTCAATTTAATAATCTTAAGAAGGTTTCCTTTTAAAGTGTAAGTATGAAACTCTGGGTGATCATTTGACAGTTATTCATGAACAATGATCTTAAGACATGTAAGCAAACCGATACAAAAATGCCAAAATATCAAAATTTACACTTGGAGGGGGGAAAGAAAAAAAAAAATCACTGAATACCTGAGCACAGAACCAGGAGTAAGCCCTGAGAACAGTCAGGTGTGGTCCCCAAACAAAAGAACAAAAGTGGGGGTGGGGGAGTCCTAAATAAATAAGCATGAAACCACCAAGCTGTAAGATGTGTTAACCCGTTGAATCCAAAACAGTGGCGGGAGCGATACCCAGGGTCAAGGGTCTGCCGTGCGCGCCCCAGACGCCGGGGCTTCGGCTCCCGGACGCAAACCGACACGGGCCGGCGCGGCGCATCGTGGAAGGTCTCGGGGGTCGTGAGATCTAGGAGCCGGAGCACCGGAGAGGGCGGTGCCCGGCGGGGTCTCGGGCGTGGCGGGCGCCGCGTCCCCGATACAGGCGAGCGCGGGCGCGAGCGGGTGGCCACCTCCCGGCCCGGACCCCCCGAGCCCCGGGGCGCGGCCTCGCCCCACTTACTGCAGCAGGCGGGCATAGAAGCCCTCGGCGGCGCGGTTCACTTGCTCCCACATCGCGCCCGCAGCGACTAGGTTCCCAACCCGCCAAATCGAACTGCGCGCCGCGCGGACTTCCGGGGTTACGCCCGCCCACGACCGGGCCTTCTTTCATCCTCCGTCCCAGCCCTATCGGTCTATGAAGCGAAGGTGCCGCTTTAGCGCGCGCGGCGACTCCTCCCAGACCCCAGTCATTCCCCATCCCCCGTAATCGGAACGTGAAGACACCGCAGGAGCGACGGGTTAAAAGCTTAGGGTGGGGGGGGAGGGGCGGCTTGGACACGCCCCCTCAGGGCCAGACACAGCTCTCGCGGATCAGTCCGCGGAAAGGAGTTCCTCGCGTCTAAGTGCTGCTCCTGACTTTGGGAATCAACAGATGTCGTAGTTTTACGCCCAGCAAGGAGTAAGAGACCCTGTTCGATTTTTCAGAGTAGCAGAGCAAGACTTTACGACTCCGGATCTACTCTGAGGCGGGGCGGGGCGGTGGAGACCGTGGAAGGTTACAAATAGGGCGGCGGTACTGAGCACTTCCTTTTCCTGTGCCTGCCGCCGGCCGGAGAGGAGCGTGGCCTTCTCTCTGCCGCCATGGTGAGTGCAGGTCGGGCGGCCTGGGCTCCTCGCGGGCCTCTCACCCCGCGGATTGGGGTCGCGGGAACCTGGGGGGGGGGGGCGGGGAGGCCCCGTGAGGTCGCGGCGAGGATGGCCGTGGGGACTCGGGGCGCCTTTTGCTGCGCGGACCGGACCGCGCGGAGCCGCGGCCGCCATCTTGGCACAACGTGGGTGTCGCGGTCCGGGGCGGCCTGGAAGGGCCCCGGGACGCCCGGGAGCTTCGCGGGACTCGGAATTCTAGTTGCACGTGGGCCCTGGGTTCCACGGTGCCGGGATCGGCGGTCCTCGAGGCTTCATGCGTTCCCTTGTGCAGCTGAGTGAGACGCCTTGCCTTGCTTAAGGTTTGGCCGGAGAGCGAAGTGCACGGTTAGCCGCTGCGGGCATGTTGGTGCCGGCGGGTAGAAGTCATTTCATGAGAAATGTCGCGATCATGGGAACGATGGTGGGATTGGCTACCGTTGGCTGCTCATTCAGCTTCGGATCTTACCTACCTCGGCGCCACCCTTCCCCCTCCCCCTTTCTTAATGCTGGGCCTGCCTCAGCCGTGCGCGCACGGATCCCCGCGACGCGGGCAGGTACCCACACCCTGGCGGTTACCTGGAGAGGGACGGGCAGGGCTGAAGACATGGCGAGTAACGAGTTACTAGCGCCCAGCAGGAGGCGGGTGGAGGCTCAGGCCCACCCTTCAGAAACGGCTGATGGAACCATTAGTGAGTCTCAAACCGTGCTTAGAAGGGGTCTCTCTCTGCAAGGTTGGAGGGAGCTGAGCCTGGACCCAGACGGGGGGTGTTTGGGGTGACCCATTAAAGATTATTTCCTAGCTTCAGAGTGCTTAATGAAAGAGTAGTGGTAATTTTTTTTTAGACGTGGCAGAGACTTGAGCAAAGTAGCCTGCGCAAATGCAGTTTTGGGTGGTATCAGCGTTTATTTTTGCCTTCAGCATTGCAGATCATGGGAGCGCCCTATAATTGAGTAGTTCGCGATTTTGTTGGAACTGCCTGGCGTGGCTCCTCAGCGTGAATGTTTGCCTTTTCTTCCAGGCGTGTGCTCGCCCGCTGATCTCTGTATACTCCGAAAAGGGGGAGTCCTCTGGCAAAAATGTCACTTTGCCTGCAGTGTTCAAGGCTCCCATTCGGCCAGATATCGTTAACTTTGTTCACACCAACCTGCGCAAGAATAACAGGCAGCCCTATGCCGTCAGTGAGCTCGCAGGTACGGGTTTCCCCTCTCCTGGAGCGGTCTGACGGGGAGCAGCGCTGATGATCCCATCCTTTGGTCCGTGTTTCTGAAGCATGTGATTGTCTGGGATGTTCTGATGCTGAATCCCCTGTATGTACTAAGTCACAGGCAGGGTGATGGCTAGGTGATTGAACTTGATTTCTCTCTATTTTAGGTCACCAAACCAGTGCCGAGTCTTGGGGAACGGGCAGAGCTGTGGCTCGGATCCCCAGAGTTCGAGGTGGTGGTACTCATCGTTCTGGCCAGGGTGCTTTTGGAAACGTATCCTCTTTCCCTGCAAAGACTGGTTTCTCTGGCATGCCAGCAGATTGCTGCCGGTGGGGGCTTTTAACTTGGGAAGGTTTGCTTGCCATGATGTCGTAATTTGCGTCTTACTCTGTTCTCAGCGACAGTTGCCTGCTGTCAGTAAGCTGGCTCAGAAGGTTGACGAAAATTTTTACTGAGCGAGGCAATAGCTCTTTCTGATTGTTCAAAGTTGAGAGTTGATCCTTAACTGAAAACTAGATGTGTCGTGGGGGGCGCATGTTTGCACCAACCAAAACTTGGCGCCGTTGGCATCGCAGAGTGAACACGACTCAGAAACGATATGCCATCTGCTCTGCCTTGGCTGCTTCTGCCTTACCAGCGCTGGTCATGTCCAAAGGTTTGTGATATATAGATTCAGAGGGGTTTAAACTGCCTCTTCTTGCCCTTCTTATAAGTGTCAGTATGATGAGATTCCACTTAATTGGTCCGTGTTTCTGAAACACATGATATTTGTGGAAAATCTGATGTAGCAAGTTACATGCCATCTTGGGTTTCATGGGTCATAGGTTTCTAGTCGTGTCCCTCCATAGCTTTGGAATAACCAGGTTGATGTTGACTTGGCTTTGTCAGGTCATCGCATTGAGGAAGTGCCTGAACTTCCTTTGGTGGTTGAAGATAAGGTTGAAGGCTACAAAAAGACCAAGGAGGCAGTTCTGCTGCTCAAGAAACTTAAGGCCTGGAATGATATCAAAAAGGTAGACTCGAAAAACATTTATTTACACGTCATTGACTTCGATCGTTCAAAAGCTTGAGTAATAGTAAAAAACTTGATGGAATGAGATATTAATTGAAGTTATATAATCAGACCATCAAATCTTCCTTTTTAAGGTTTATGCCTCTCAGCGGATGAGAGCCGGCAAAGGCAAAATGAGAAACCGTCGTCGTATCCAGCGCAGGGGACCCTGTATCATCTATAATGAGGACAACGGTATCATTAAAGCTTTCAGAAACATCCCTGGTAAGTCTTAACACTGCCCTTGTAATTAGTCTTCCCATGTTTACTCAGCTTTTACTGTGATGATATTCCGCTTGAAGGTCCGTGTTTCTGAAACATCTGTGATTTTTGTGGAACTTCTGATACTTAGCTGAGTGGGTACCTCATGATTAGAAGCACATCAACTGTGGGAGGGGTTGTTTCTGCTGTTGAAGTACATGATTCTTAATTCTCCCTTTTCTTTCAAAGGAATTACTTTGCTTAATGTAAGCAAGCTGAACATACTGAAACTTGCCCCTGGTGGACACGTGGGTCGTTTCTGCATCTGGACTGAAAGTGCTTTCCGCAAATTAGATGAACTGTATGGCACTTGGCGGAAAGCTGCCTCCCTCAAGAGTAACTACAAGTAAGTACGTAGTCCAAATGCCAAACACAGCTGTCTCTTGACATTTAATCTAAGAATTGGCTTGCATGTTTTCTAAATGATTTCTACTGGCAAGCTGCACTGGTGAAATTCTAAAGCCACTGGTATACTGGAATTTCTGTTTAGATCTGAGAGTGGCTAAATGGTTAAAACTCTTGAGAGTCCTATTTGTTTGAGCAATGGGTTTTAAACTTAAGTGTTTTTTTTCTTCTTCAGTCTTCCCATGCATAAGATGCTTAATACCGACCTTAGCAGAATCTTGAAAAGCCCAGAGATCCAAAGAGCCCTGCGAGCACCACGGTCAGTTTTTAGTGTTTATTGTGCCCATCTTAATCCCAGGCTCTGGGCATTGGTCATTCCTAGTGCATATAGTATGGAGATACTATCAAGACATTGTCTTCCTTTTACAGCAAGAAGATTCATCGCAGAGTCCTGAAGAAGAATCCTCTGAAAAACCTGAGGATCATGCTGAAGCTGAATCCATATGCCAAGACAATGCGCCGAAACACCATTCTTCGCCAGGCCAGGAATGTAAGTGGTTTATTTGGATCTTGCTGTTAAATTTTTAAGAAAGAGTTGATGATTAAGCATTCTTTCATTGTTGCAGCACAAACTCCGGATGGATAAGGCAGCAGCAGCACTAGAAGCCAAATCAGATGGGAAGGAGGTTGGCAGCAAGAAGCCTGTGGCAGGGAAGAAAGAGAAGCCTGCTGGTGTGAAAAAACCAAAGAAGGCACCTGTGGGGAAAAAGGCTGCAGCTACCAAGAAACCAGCTGAAAAGAAGCCAGCAGAAAAGAAAGCTACAGAAGAAAAGAAGAAGCCTGCTGCGTAAACGCCCATCTCCTATAAAAGTCATTTGGACAGCTAAATTTTGAATAAAGACCTGATCAAAGAGGCAATGAAAAATAAGATGTTGGCTGTGTTGTCAATCTTGGTTAGAATATTAGTGCAATATTAGTGTTTCAATTTAGTTTTATGAAATGATTTTTTTGTTTTTTATATGTTGAGGTCCATGTAGTTAGTTGAATGGGAAAAGTGAGTACCATAAATCCAGATTACAAAACTCCTTTGTAAATAGTGTAATGTCCTGAAAAACACCTAATAAACAGCTTTTAGACTCCAGTCCTCTGGCTTTAAAATTCCCTGGGTTCCCCTAGTAGCACAATATATGCCCTCCCCCCCCCCCAACAAAAAATCCCTCTCATAGCTTCAAGGATAATGCAAAACCTCTATGGAGTTCAGTGACTTCAAATACCTTCTCTGGTGTATTCTCCCCTGGAGTGTTAGCAGGTAAGCCTTTGGCTTCTAGACTGCTTAGGACTCCTGAGCCATGCAAGATGACAAACTCAATTCTGGCTTACTAGGGAACGTGTGTGATTGGCTATGTAAGGTGCGGAGAAGTGTGTCTGTCCCTCCCCAACACCTTGGTATCCTAAAGCTTTGAGGCAGCTGTGCTGTCACCTATAGTTGCTGTCCCCCGGCAGCCTAAGACATCCTCTGCAGAGCATACAACTCAAGCTGTGCAGATACAGATCCCGCCTGTGTTGAGGCTTGTGAGCAGCTGGCCTGGGAGTTGTCTGTTCTCTCCGAGTACCTAGTTTTCGCCAAGTGACCCCCAGCTGTGGCGTCTAGACGGCTACTCGTCCAAACTTGGCCCAGAGATGCAGCTCCGGCTCCAGACGGGGCCATCTCGGGATCAGGAGCGCCGAGGTTTCCATCTGGCTACAGAGAAATCTTCGGGGAGGTAGCTCGCGGTGGGCGGTCTTCCCATGTGGCCCAAGGTTCCTGTGAGCAGCGCCACGTGTGGCACAAAAAAACTCGAAAACCTTCCGGAAGCGCCTTGCAGCGAGCCTTCGTGATTTCTCCTCCCAGCAGAACCCGGGTGCTGTGACGTCATCAGCGGGCGCCGTGACGTCGTCAGCCCGCGGCCGGGGCAGGCGAGGGCGCCATGCTGAGCCGGCTGCAGGAGCTGCGCAAGGAGGAGGAGACGCTGCTGCGTCTGAAAGCGGCGCTGCACGACCAGCTGAACCGGCTCAAGGTGACATCACGGCCCCCACCCGGCCCTCGGTTCCGCCGCGCTCAGACTCCCCGCGCGAGCCCCTGCAGTCTGCCTAGCCCAGTCGCGACCCAGGCCCGGCGCCCACACGCAGAGAAAGTGCAAGCCCCCCGAGCGCGCTGACAACTCCCTGACACCCCAATCCTCCTCCCCCGAGCGCAGCTCCCTGACACCCCAGTCCTCCTCCCCCCAGCGCCGACAGCTCCCTGACACCCCAATCCTCCCCCGACAGCTCTCTGACCCCCGTTCCGCCTTCCCCGAGCGCCGAGAGCTCCCTCGCCCCCATTCCTCCTCCTCCAAGCGCCGAGGGCTTCCTCGCCCCCATTCCTCCTCCCCCTAGCGCCGACAGCTCCCTGACACCCCATCCCTGACAGATTTTGGTACTGTAAAGCCGGGGACTTGGGGCTGGAAGCCATAGCACAGCGGGTAGGGCCTTTGTTTGGCTTGCATGCGGCCGACCCGGGTTCGATTCCCAGCATCCCATATGGTCCCCCGAGCACCGCCAGGAGAAAATCCTGAGTGCATGAGCCAGGAGTAACCCCCTGTGCATCGCCGGGTGTGACCCAAAAGGCAAAAAAAAAAAGCCGGGGCCTTCCGTTGTGTAGACAGCAGCGCCCCAGAGATGCATTTGCTGCCAAGTTGGATATCGTTACCTTTCTTTCGGGGCGTGGAGGGTGTGGCGGCGGTGCTCAGGGCTTACTCCTGGAGGCATCACAAATGGTAGGACTCGGGGGACCATATGGGGTGTCGGGCATCAATCCCTGGTCTGTCCCATGAAGAATAAGCCCCTTTTCCCCACTGTATTCTTCTCTTTTACTCCTCTCTCTCTCTCTCTCTCTCTCTCTCTCTCTCTCTCTCTCTCTCTCTGTTACTGACTCCATGGCCATAGTGAGACGTGGAACTTCATGCCCAGCAGGGCTTTTTCCTGGGCAGGTGCCCGTTGTGTACCTTTAGCGCTGCTCAGCACCCTTCGTCGGCATCATTATGTTGACATGAAATGAGAGCAATGAAAAACTCGCCTCATCATCGTTAAAGCTTCCTTTAACTGGGACATGGAAACAAGCATTATTCTCAGTTGAGTCTGCCCCCCCCCCCCCCCCCCCCCCCGCCCCGGTGCCCCTAAACTCATGTTCAGGAGTCCTTGGGTCTCCTACTGTTCTTAGCCAACAGGCCTGGTGGTTCAGTGTAAGGACCCAGGCCATGCAGCTCCAGGATTACCCAGGATATCAAGGATGGCTGTGCTGGGTGATACTCAGGGCACCTCCTAGTTCTGGTGTAGTGAGTATTGCCTCTCAGCCCACTCTCAGGACACTTAATGCCCACGTTTCCTTGTATTCTTAGAGCACTGATGCGTTTTGAAACCGACTTCAAAGCTTACATTTATGTTCCGGGGAACGGTTCCAATTACTCTACTCCCTACCTTCACTTCCTATCTCTTTCTTGACCACACCTCACCCCACTTGTGCCTGGGGAGCGTGCACTGGGCCTGCAGACATGCACTCCACCTTTTGAGCTCTCTGCAGCTCTGCCTTACACGGGGAGCCACGCTGTAGCCTTTGAGGAACCAGCAGGTGACACTGCTGCGCTGTCTGCAGGCTCCCAGATCTGGGAGTGGAATCCATGACATCACTGCACTCCAGAAAACCCCCAAGGAAAGGGACTGGAGATTGCTTTGCTCTTTTCCTTAAAAGGGGCAGGAAGTGTAAGTGCACTCTCCTTCTTCCCTAGAGCTGCAGAGATTTACTGGCTTCACTTCCTGCAGTTGTGCCAGCCATTTACTTACTGCATCTTAGAGAATTTAATTGCCCGAGTCAAGTTCTGAACTCTTCTCTTCTAGGTTGAAGAAATGGCATTGCAGGCAATGATCAATTCAAGCAGAGGGGCCGGGGTGCTGCCCTCACAGCCTGCACCCGATCCAGCACAGGATGTAAGTGTGTGCCCAGGGAAGAAGGCACAGGCCTCTTGCCTGTGGGCTGCATGGAGACCAGAGTGTTCTTGTAAATCACATTTGCAAACCCAAGGGACTCTGCAGAGTGCTAAGATTGTTCTAGTTTTCAGGTTTTCAAACTTATTTGGCCTACCACCGTTTTGTTTTTGCTTTTTGTTTTTTTCCTTCAGGAAAAAGTTTACTTATTGCCCCACCCCCAACACCCAAAATCTGCAAAAACAACAACCAATGGGCCAGAGCAGTAGTAGAGTGGCAGGGAGTTTTCCTTGCATGTGGCCGACCCTGTTGTCTCCGGCACCCAGACACTGCCAGGAGTGAGCCCTGAGCACCACTGGATGTGGCCCAAAAACCAAAAGAACAAAGTATTCCTTGATGGTACCTGAGGCCACTGTATACCGCCCCCACCACCAAATTGCCCAGAACCCTGGTGGTGGTAATGGCCCACTAAAACAGTTCTGATTGAAAGATGGGTAAATCTTTAAAACTGAATTGTTAAATCAGTAACTCCTTTTCTGTATTACTGTTGTTTTGGTTTTTGGTGCACGCCTGGCAGTGTTCCAGGCTGGTTCTACGCTCAAGGCTCACTCCTAGTTGGCTTGGGGGAATCTAACCCAGGTCAGCTCATCCACGGCAAGTAAGTGTGCTCCCCACTGGACTATATTTCTGGCCCCAGCTATGTTATTGACTTGGACCTGCTGCCTAAGCCCCAATGGACTCACTAGGCACGGCTGTTCTCTTGCCTTCATTTGCCATTAACCACTGGTCACCCGTCTCCTTTGCTCCAGTGAATCCAGGGCAAGTGGAATGGTGGGATCTTCCACTCTGGAATAGGTGTGGGATCAGAAACTAGCTTTCTGCTCCAACACATGGGCTAGGAAACGGGATGGGATGGGACAGGGCAGAGCCCTTGTTTGTATCAGACCCATGGAGCCTCGTCGGCTGGGGACCCAGGAGGCCCCCTGACCATTGAGGTAACCCTGGTGGTCCCCAGCACTGTAGACCCTGTCGGGATCCCTTTCACTGAACTGCAGTCCAGTGGGTGGAGAATAATTGGGAATGGTCCCCGTACCTCCTGGGCACTCACCCCCGGAAAATCGCGAACTCAGCTTCCAGTGATATCCGTCATACGCTGGGGAGTTAGAATCATGTTCATTCTAGATAGGCCATGTTTGTGCACTTGAGTCATTTCAAACCAGAGGAGAGTTACGCATCTGAGCAGCATGGCGCTTTTGTCAGAGCCGTGTTTGAGGAGCCTGAGCTCTTAAGAGCACAGCGGGAAGAGCACTGGCCTTGCATGGAGCTGACCCAGGCCCAATCCCTGGCATCCCATATAATCCCCTGAACACAGAGCCAGGAGTAAGCTCTGAGCATTGCTGGTGTGGCTCAACACAAAACCCAGCCAGCCGCAGCCCAGCACAGCTCAGATTATATTTGCCCATCTTGGCATTGGGGGTGAGGAGCTTGGATAGAATTGGGAAGCACAGGCCAGTGATCGTACTTGGTAAAGCCTGGGCATGAACATGCATTTGAGATCGAACTTGATGGCATTTTTTAAGAGTTCGCTGTTTGGGGGACTGGATAGTACAGCAGCTTGCCATCAGTCAACCCAAGGAAATCACGTGATTTCCTGAGCCCCCACCAGGAGTGATGCCAGAGCATCATGGCCCCCCCAAAAACAGAATTGGAGGGGACACACACTCAGCAATGCTCAGGGTTTACACCTGGTTCTGCACTCAGGAGTTACTCCTGGCAGGGCTTGGGGACCATATGGGTTGCCAGGGATTGAACCCAGGCCAGCCACGTGCAAGGCAAGTGTCTTCACTCACTTTATTATTGCTCCATTGCAAGGTCTTGCTGCTCTGAAGCCATCCCTTCCCTGCTAACCCACCCTGTCCTTGACTAACGCAGATGCTGGTGCACGTGGACAATGAAGCATCCATCAACCAGACAGCACTGGAGCTGAGCACAAGGTGCCACGGGCCAGAAGAGGAAGAGGAGGTGGAGGAAGAATCAGATTCCTGAAGGGGAAGACTCAGGGCTGGTTCATCTGGGGTCTTAAGGATCCAGAACTTTCTCTTTACGAATTCTCTCACCATGGGCCCGATGACCTACAGAAGGAAGCAAGAACTTCAAGAGTGGAAAGTTGTGAAAGTGGGTCCACTAACTCAGGTTCTGGGGTGCTTTCGCAAAAATCACAGACCAAGAAAAGCGACAGTGGTTGGGCACTGGGTGGAGTGGGCGGGGCTGCACCTGACTCGGTGATTATGATGGAACAGAAATCGTCTCTGAGATGCCCTGGGCATTTACAAGCAGCTTTCGCGGCCAGTAGTGTTGCCTATAAGAAAACCCTCTCCGGGCTGCTGTCTGCATGCCACCAAGTCCCAGGGGCACAGAGCAAGACCACAGCTAGGAGAGAAAGGTGGAGGGTGCAGGGTCACTTAAGCATGTGTTGAGCCACAGGCAGCACTGCCCACTGTGGACCGCCTGTGGCTACCTGCAGGTGGAGGGGCAGTAAAATACGCCAAGAACAAGAAGGCGGTTCAGGATCACAGCCACCAGGAGGGTGCTGGCTTCGTGGCAGCTGCCCAAGAATCACCTTTGGGGGAACATACAGCAGGATGGGCTCAAGCCCACACCTGGGCTTAGGGAGGAAATTTGCCATGAAAATGCAAAACCAGCTTGGTGATTGGGTTTAAACAGGAATGACAAGTTTCAGACTTGCTTATTAAACTAATGGTGGTTGGAGTTGAACTTCATTTCTTTGTTTTTGGGTCACACCCAGCAATGCTCAGGGCTTACTCCTGGCTCTGCACTCAGGGATCACTCCTGGTGGGGCTCATGGAACTATATGGGGTGCCAGGGATTGAACCCAGGTGGCTACATGCCTTCCTTGCTGTGCTCTGGCACCAGCCCTGAAACTCATTTCTAGGTACTACCCCTTTCCTGCTGCTGAGCTGAAGAGTTGCTGATCTGTATCAGCATCTTGTGAAGTTACTTGAGATACTCAAACTGGAAAAAAGCAGAAGTCTAGACAAATATGTTTCTTGGAAAATGTCATATAAAAGGTAGTTTTATAGTGAAAAATATCAAGGACACATGGGGGGGCATCTAATTGAAAATATGAACACGGAGTTTTAAAACTGGATGTGGCCAGGAGATGGCTCACTGGACTGACGTAGTCCACTCACAGTTTGCGATTCCTGAGCACCATGGGTTTCCAGCTCTTACTTGTCACCAGTCACTTGCCTTTCCTCACTACCTCCCTCACCTGCACAACTATGCGCTTCCCAACTGGCATTTTCCTAAGAGGCGGTGAGATGCTGAGACACAGGAATCCAACCATCAGGGCTGGGGCGATAGTGCAGTGGGGGGAGGTTCTGGTTTTGAACACAGTCAAACAGACTGAGCCCTAGCACACACCCGTGGGTGACTTCCCTGCCACCACACAGATGGTGGGGCCAGCAGTTGGGACTGCTCATCTGCGGGGAGGTATGATTAAGCCTAAGTGGAACAGCAGGGAGCCCTCCCTGCCCCTAGAGCAGGGCACAATGGGGTGCACCTTTCTGGGCAGCGTGTGCAAGGCAGGCGTCCCAGCCCACCCCCACCACGTTTTTGCCTTAGAAAGAGGAACAGAGGGGAGCTGTGCACAGGAGGGGGGTGGCTGGGAGATGAGGGTGTTGAGGAGCGTCAACTCTCAGGAAGTCCCATCGTGAGACCAGTCAACTCCATGGCAGGGTCTGGCTGACTTGCTGGATTTGTGCATTGAAGACTGAGTGACAACCACAACACTACACATTGCTCTCATCCGTTTTAAAAGCATATTTATTTGAATAGGAGATTCGATTTGTTAAACATCTGGATTAAGACGGTTTGAGGATTTCATACAATTCTTAGGCACTGTACACACTGCTGTTTACAAGAGCATCAGGACTTGGCTTTGGGGGAAGCAGAAATCTCACACACGTTAATGCCTTGGTAACATTCAAACTCCATTTCAGAAACGGTAACCGGAGCTAGGGACATATGCCACTAAAGACCCCACACAGTGTATTTCAAAATAAATATAGAAATGCAACCAGAAGACAGACTGGCAGTGGTAGCGAGGGGCTCTGCCGAGGATCTGATGGGTACTGCGGAATTGTACAACCCAAAGCAAGAAAATAGTCATAATAAAGGTACGTGACAAACACATTCCGATGCTCAATTCTGAGTAGCAGCAAAGCATGCGGTACATGCACTGCCTGTGGAGTCTCCCAAGGGAAGCTGGCAGGGATAAAGTACCACCAATTCGCAAGGAATCCTGGAAATACCGGAACTGAGCCAATCATGGGAGAAAGGGGCGACAGCACAGGGCCAGCAGGAGTGGCCCCGCAGTCACCAGCCCCAGTCAGCACTGAGTGTGTGTCTTCGCCCCAGCATGTAGCCATCAACCCAGGGAGTGAATGACAGGAGTAAGAATACAGACAGGCAGAGTTGAAAGGGTACAGCTAGAATTTTGGCACATGCTGTGTTCTTCATCCTTTGTCACGGGTGAAACGCACGTCTGCACAGGGACAGGCATGGGAAGAAGGCCTATGGTGACCCGGCCACGGCGCCAGGAAGGTCCCAGGGGCTTAGACGCCAGCCGTGTGGGTCGGTGTGCTGGGCTGGTTAAGGCCGATGGTGGAGCACAGCCAACCTGCAAAGTCCACTTCCTCCGCATCGGACCTCTTGATGAAAGCGTGGACCTGTGTGTGAGGAGACAGAGATGGGGGTGAGGTTTAAAACAGCACCAGTGGGGCTGGAGCCAAGCACGGGGGAGGGCATTTGCCGTGCACATGGCCCGCCCAAGTTCTATCCCTGGCTATTCAGTACGGTGCCTCTAAACCCGCTAGGAGTGATCCCCGGGCACAGCCAGAAGTAAGCTCTGAGCACTGTCAGGCGTGGCCCAGAAACCAGAGATAATAAAAAGCATCAAGGAGGAGAATTCCAGAGTTTCATTCTGGAGCTTGTGCTGCCTTTGAAATGAGCTCCTGGGGGTTCAGTGGGCTTGGGGGGGGGGGGTGGTGGGGGAGGAAGGGCGGAGGGGGGCCAGGCTAATAATACAGACACGGACCCTCCAGCCCCCACCCCGTGAAGCTCTGGGCAACTTGCCCACTCCCCTGAGCTGATCCCCAGTCTGAAATGGAGTGGGGTGGAAGCTGTGCTCATGGGGGGTGACTGGTGACCGGAGGCCAGCTCCCCACTACTTCCTATGCCATCCGGCGAGGACAGCTCTCGGCAGTGTGCTTGGAAGGGGAGCAAGGCCACAACCCAAACCCAGCCATGCAGAGGGGTGGCCCCCTCCCAGCTCTCCCCCAAATCAAAAGGACAGAGACTGAAGCTCTATAGCCCGCGCGCCCCAGACTCGGGGGAAACCAGGTGGGGAGAGGGAAAAGCAGTGGGTGTAGCAGAGAGAGAGAGAGAGAGAGAGAGAGAGCAGAAAATGGGATTTGAGGACTCGGAAGGGACTTACCATGAGCTGCTTAAGATCCGCCCTCTCTGCAGGGTTTTTTATTAAGCTTAAAGGAAGAGAGAGATGATCTGTTGATGTGCCACCCTAGTCTGTACCCTCCAGGCTCTGAGGAGGGTGACTAAGGGGCACTATCGGCCTCCTTCCCCCACTCCCCAGGGTTGCTGCAGGGATCAGGGCAGCCGCCCCCCCCCCCCCCTCGGGCTCTGGGAGAAAGCGGTGGAGGGGACAGGGAGGGATGGGGCAGGTGTGTCCGGGGATAGGGGTAGGGGCTGACCCAGGTTGCTCCCCGGGAACAGAACCACTCACCATTTATTCACGAAGTCCTGGAACTCCAGACTGAAGACCCCACTGGGCAGTTTGGGGGGAGGCTGCAAAGATGGGCGGAGTGGTGAGGTGATGGGCGGAGTGGTGAGGTGCTGGGCTCAGTCTCCCCCGGCCCCGGATCCCGTCAGTGAAAGGGGAGGCCAGCATCCAGCCTCATCACCCTGGTCCCACTGGAGCCCTGTCTGCACACCCATCTGTGGGCTGAATGAGCCTCAGTTTACCCCTCTCCACAGGAGGAAATCTGGACCTACTGTTCTCTGAGGCACTCAGTCTCATGTTCCATTTGCAAACCCTGGTGTGTGGCGTTAGGGGTTTGGGGGTCTGTACTCCAGTCACAGGGGCCAGGCCCCACGACACAAGGCATGACAGCATCAGGCTTGTGCCCGCCCCTGACACTCCCCAGGGTGACACCCACAGTCCAGCAGAGCCCTTTCTGGAAGGCCTGAGAGGAATGAGCAGGGAATGAGCCTCCTCTGGGGGAAGGGAGAGGCCTGCTTCTGACCCCACTCAGAACAGCCACTGGAGCAGGGAATGTGCCAGGGTGGGGACCAGGCGTTGCCGCCAGAGGCAGGGAGCCCTCCCAAGGCAACCCAGTCATGGTGCAGTCTGGCCTCCTGGGCCCAGGGCTGGGAGGAGGAGGGGTGCTAAGCCTGAGTGTAGCTCCCCGCAGGGCGGCTCCATGGGCTGGAGATGGCAGCTGTGTGCCCAGGAGAGCCCTGTCTGATCCCGGCACCCAGGAGCGATGCTGAGTATCATGCTGGGAGCTGCCCCAGCACTGCGGTGTGCTCAGCCCATCGAGCCCCACGGGGCCTGGGTATGATGCTGCTTGGACTCTGAGGGTCCTCAGGGCACAGAGAACCATGCTGGGAGCATCGAGCCAGCGTGTGCCATAGACGAGGCTTCTTGGCCACGGGCTCATGATTTCCTTCTCTCCCACAGGTACCCGAGCTCCCTGCCCACCCCACATTGGCTCCCTTGCTCCTCTCGTGTGCTGCCTTACAGTCCATGCAAAGGAGTCCGCACAGTACCTACCTCATTGACTATGTAATCCAACAACTCAAAGATCGCCATGGGTGGCCGGCTGTCCATTCCGTAGGCTACAGGTGTCAGCAAAAGGACAAAGAAAACAACCTGTCACTTGTTAAGATGTGGCTAGAGGCTGGGCTTGGACCCTGGGGACCAAACAAGGTGACTGATGACAAACAAATGCAGAAGGGATCGTCACAGGCCACGGGTAGCCTTCTGGGCAGCTGCATCTGGGCTTTGTGGGCCAATGAGCCGGCCACTAACCTAGCTTGAGTTCTGCAGAGTAGAGGTGAACAATAGTTACACCCGCCCTGCCGACAGAGGGAAGAACAGATAAGATAGTAACTGCGGAACAGAAACATGAAGTTTCAACACCCAACTCGAGTTTCTTCTTAGGTTAGGCTAACCCCAGGTCCACCTGTTATGGGGCGAGTCTCAGACATCACAGCTAGAACAAGGCCCACAAGTTGTCCCCAAGGGCGGCTCCTCCCCAGGGTTGGGGCCCAGCTCCCCGGTGCCACAGGAAGATCCTGACGTGAGAAGAGGGGCCAGGACACGTGTCTAGAGAACCAAGTTTGCACCCTTCTCCATGCTCTAGGTCTCACCCGCCAGCCTGAGTTAGCCCTGGCCAGCTTGTGTGGCCTAGTCCAGGTCTCGCACTGCGTCGCCCTTTCCTGAATAAAGGTGACACAGTGCAACACCCAACTGCTATGGTTGGGGACATGGGGCAGGGTGGGGGGTGCCTGGCCATGATGCCCAGGCTTATTTCCACATGGCCCCGGGGGCAGGGTGACCCTGGCAGCACTGTGCTAGGGGCCTCAGTGTTATAGCTAAAGCATGTGACCTTGGCAACACCACGACCAAATGCAGAACCCTATAGCCGCAGGGTGAAACCTTGGGTGGCATCACAGCCAGCAACCGGGCAGCCTCAGGCAAGCCTACAGCATGGCATGTGTGAACCATACCAGGGCACCACAGCTGGCCACAGCAGGCAGCCTTGGGCAAGTCCACAGTGCCAGGGTACCACAGATGGCCAAAGTAGCACAGAGATGGTGAAAATGAAAATAACCCGTTCACTGGGGCTGGAGCGACAGCACAGCGGGTAGGGAGTTTGCCCTGCATGTGGCCAACCCGGGATCGATTCCCAGCATCCCTGAGCACTTCCAGGAGTAATTCCTGAGTGCATCGCCAGGTGCGGACCCCCCCCCCCCCCCCCCGCCAAAAAAAAAGAAAGAAAAGAAAGAATATAATCCATTCAATCAGGTCAGATGGGGCTTTTAAAATCAGTCTAAAGGGCGACTGGACAGAAGAAAGGGTATTTGCCTTGCATGTGGCTGACCCGGGTTTGTTCCCTGGCATCTCACTGGGTCCCCTGAGCACTGAGTAATTCCTGAGTGCAGAGCCAGCAGTCAGCCCTGAGCACTGCCAGATGTGACCTAAAAACAATTACATACCATTGGCTTGAGGGAGGACTGGAGCACATACATGGTTTCCCAAGCACATGGAGGGGGTCCCTGCTCCCACTGACTCGTACCATGCTGCACCACCAGCCCACAGGGTTGGATCAAGTGCCCTTGGAAGAGTCTGAGCATGTCTCGGGAGATGCCCCCATAAAAAAATTAGATGATGTTAATAAGATCCTCAGAGATCAAGATAAATTCGTGACCTGCAGGGGGTGGAAATGGGAGTGACTGTCCATGAAAATACCTTCTTCTGGGGGTGACGGGATGTCTAGGGATCACGCAGTGATGCAGGCTGCACACTGCCCAGGAGAGGCGATCACTGACACGCACAGTTTCAAGCCTGTCTTTTATGGGACTCACTTCACTTTAAAAAAAATCTACCCAAAACAAAATGCCAGGCATTTAGAAAGTTTAAGATGTGTCTTAAGGGGCCAGAGAGAAAGCCTGTGGGCAGAGGCGTATGCTTCTCACGCAGGAGCCCCGAGTTGACTCCCTGGCACCACAGGGTCTCCTGGGAAGGAGAGACGCCAAGCTAAGAGCCAGGGGAGCCCCCATGCACCTCAGCGTGGCGCCACACCACCATGCACGTCCAATGCTGAGGGCAGCATCAGGGACACAGAGGGAGTGGCCAGTGATGACAGTCCCCAAGCACCTCCTCTGCATGGGATCACCCACCCCGCCCAGAAACCCCAACGGTAAATGACGGCCACTCACAGCTGAGAGGCCTCCCGGGGGTCCGTGGCCTGGGTGGGGTCTCGGCAGCGTCGCCCTCCATGGAGCACCCAAACATCAGCTCCAGCTCCTTGGCGTCGGGAGGGGGGATGGGGTACCTGCCCACAGCCATCTCGACCAGGGACAGCCCCATACTCCAGATGTCCGACTGCACCGAGTAATGTGTGCCCTGGAGCCGCTCTGGCTGCAGAGAAAGAGACATGCTGTGGTCACCTCGAGCTTCGGGGACTCCATGGTGGGGCCAAGCGCACGCACGCATGTGAGGAGCTGGGGCTTTGACATGCTAAGGATGCCAGTTGGTGCACATAAGAGGCGCTCTGCGTGCTGAACAGTGCACTCTGCCCCTTCCTCTGCCTGCTCACACCATCTCAGGCCTCCTGCCGGCCCCACATCCTGTGTTCCCCAAAACCTCGCTGCTGTGTGCTCCGGGGAGGAGGGGGGTTCGCCCCAAAAGCTCTGGCCTATGCTAGCTGCCCCTCTGGCTGGGGTTTGGCCCTGCCTAGCCTGGGAGTGTCCATGACAAGTGAACAGTCTTCCTGATTTCCAGCTGCAGACTTGTGTTCTGGGCGGGAAGAAGCAGGGGGCTTGCCCTGAGGCTCGGGGCCCTTGCTGATCCCTAGGATGGGGAGGGGTCCTGGCCCAGGAGCCCTGCACAAATCCCAACTCTGGGCCTCTCCAGCTAAGCTCAAGCCTAAACTACAAAGGAGGCTGACGATGACAGGCGCAGAGGCGACTGAACGGAAACCTGCTGTCTGCCTGCAGGGTCACATAGAGGGAAAACCAATGGCAGGCACCGAGATGCCCTGGGCAACCCTGTGCCAGGAGCACGTCGGCAGAACCCAAGGACTGTTCTGGGCAAGCTCCACTCAAAGCAGCAAAACTGAACCTTTATGGGGCTGGAGCGATAGCACAGCAGGGAGGGCATTTGCCTTGTATGCAGCCGACCTGGGCTCGATTCCCAGCATCCTTTATGGTCCCCCAAGCACCGCCAGGGAGTAATTCCTGAGTGCATGAGCCAAGTGTAACCCCTGTGCATTGCTGGGTAAAAAGGTAAAAAAGGCCCTCCCGTTGATCGTCGATTTGCTCGAGCGGGCCCAGTAACGTCTCCATTGGAGACTTTGTTGTTACTGTGTCTGGCATATCGAATACTCTCGGTAGCTTGCCGGGCTCTCCGAGAGGGGCGGAGGAATCGAACTCGGGTCGGCCATGTTGGCCGCTTGTAAGGCGAACGCCCTACCCGCTGTGCTATAACCCCTGTGCATTGCTGGGTGTGACAAAAGGCAAAAAAAAAAAAGCAAAAAAGCAACAACAAAGAAAACCTGAACCTCTGTCCCACCTCACGTCTACTCAGACACCCAGCTACTCTCTCCCCCAGGAGTTTTCACCAATACCGACAATGGACCCTGTTGGGTCAGTAAGTCCCAGGGCACATGCGGCCACACTGAGCTTGGGTGGTCCAGAAGCTCAGCTTTTAGGTCTGCAGGGAGGACGCTGGAGGGCTGGGGATTGATTTCTTTGGAGCTGAGGGGCAGGCCAGGAGATGCCTGCAGTGGCAGAAGGCAACACCAGGGGGCGCCCGGGGGCAAGCAGAGGGACTGAGCGTGTGGGACTTGAAGAAGCTCTGCATGGAGGGCCAGAGTGTCTGGGGCTGACTGGCTTTGATCCCCTGCATCCAGGCATGCAGAGATCCATGCAGCCTCCCAGAATCTCAAGTCCTTCCCTCCTTGACGAGAACTGTCAGGTCCCACAGGGCTGGCCATGGGCGCTGCTCCCTCCCTAGGATCCCTAGAGCCATGCTGTAGCCAAGTGCGTCTGAGCACTGCAACCAGAGTCTGTGACCCTGGTCATCACCACCACCATGGGGAATGGGGAGAGGGAAGTGGGCTTATTTTGAGTATTTCAGCGGGCAGAAACAGAGAGATCCTCGAGGATGTGAAAGCTGGGAGGACTCTGCAACTGTCTCACCCTCTCCCATCTCCAGGCCTCATGCCCCGACTCCGCCCCCTCACCCCACCTGGCTCCTGACACCTGACACAGTGCCCCCTCCCTTTCCCCAGTCACCCGCCTGGCCAGACACATCCCCGCTTGCCACACCCAACACAGGCCTGAGACAGACCTTGGGGGTCACTGAGACCTCTCTGGCCACTCCCTGACCTAGGAGCTGAGGGGAGGGGGTTAAGGGGGTTAAAAGTGATGTTGCAACCGCAGGGATGGACCCGCACACAGGGAACGGGTGTGGGAGAAACATACACAGAACGGAAAGAACCAGAGCTGGGCCTGGCCTCTGGACCTGGTGGGGGCTGGGGAGGGAGAGGTGAAAGGCCTCCAAGGAAGCGCTAGGCCAGCTCCTGGAAGGGAGCAGGGGGAGGGGCTGTCTGGGCATTTCTAGCTTGAGACTCTGAATATAACCAAGCCAAGCCACGATGTCTTCAGGACATGCAGCAAGCTGGGACCACAGAGGCAGGACAGCAGGGAGGGTGCTTGGGGGAAGGTGTTGGCCTTGTGTGCAGCTGACCTGGGTTCAACCCCCAGCACCACAATGGTCCCTTGAGCCCCCTCCAAGAGTGATCCCTGAGCACAGAGCAACGTAGGGTGTGGCCCCAAAACAAAAGAACATGGCACCAAGGCCCAGAGAGGGGAGGGAGCTTATCTTGCAATGCAGAGGACACGGGTTTGATCCCCGGCATTCCATATCGTTCCCTAGGAGTAATTCCCGAGTGCAAAGTCAGGAATGACCCTGAGCACCACTGCGCATAGGTTCCTTTCCAGGTCCCTGCCCCCCGCCAAATAATAATAATAATATGCACCAAGCACTGGGAGTATCTGTGCTCATGCGTTCCTGCTTCTGGTCATAGGCCCTGAGAGTGAATATGGCTCTGACGTCGGAGCAACCAACATCTCCCCACGGGACTGCCCATGCAGCGGGCGCCACCATGCCCAGCACTGCCTTCCCTCTCCCCCACCCCAGTCCTGCCATGGAACCCACTGTCCGTACCGACATGTAGGACCTGGTGCCCACAAAGGAGTTGGCCATCGAGTCGATGAGCTGCCCGCTGACCCCGAAGTCGCAGAGCTTGATCTCCCCCCGGGAGTTGACCAGGATGTTGGAGGGCTTGACATCTGTGGGAAAGAAGCAGAAGTGCAGGGGTGAAGAGAGGTGGGCTAGGCCCCACAGGTACCCCTGCCCTAGCACGCGGGGTCTGCCCCTAGCTTGCTAGCAGCCAGGCTGCTGTTCCCGCCTGCAGAGGGCTCTGGAAGGAGTCTCAGGAGGGTGATGGCATATGCTAACCACCGGGCACTGCGCTAGGGGATTTTCACTGCTTGTTTGGGGGCTCACTCCTGGCTCTGTGCTCAAGAATCACTCCTGGGGGGCTCAGGGGACCCTATGGGGTTCTGTATCAAACAGAGATTGACCACATGCAAGACAAACACCCAAGGCGGGAGAGTTAGCACAGTGGATTGCTATCTCTGTGCTATCTCTCCTGCCTTGGGTGTCACTCTGAGAAACCAGCCTTACGCCAGAGACCCATAGGGAGGAGTCACGATGGATGCCAACTGAGGGTTAGTAAGAACTCCTTAGAGGGCCACAGCACAGTAGGGAGGCCTTGGCCTTGCATGCAGCTGATCTGTGTTTGAGGGACTTTGTCACTACCTGACCCAGGATGAAGAGGAGGGGCTGGGAGGGCGAAGGTTGGGGCAAGATGAATGGCCTTTTATTCACCTCATCATTGGGAAGATCCCTGAACAGACAGAATTTGTTTAAGAATAAATTGGGGCCAGAGAGGTAGCCCACGGCTTCGGATGGGTGCTGACCCCTCAGCCGACGGGGCTGGTGGTTTCATCCAGTGAGGACACAGTGCTGGCGTAACCTGGGCCACCACAGCGCCCCCAGGAGACTGCTGCAGGTGGGTTACTGAGGCTAGAACTTGGTCGAGGTCGTGGGTCCTGGGATTCGTGGACCCACACCAGCAAACAATGAGACACCCTCGCAGGGTAAGGGTGGTGGGACCAAGAAGGAAGTGATACAGAGACTTCCAGAACTTCCAGAGAAGGGGAGGAGAAACTGAGGCCCCTGCCAGCCTCAATGCACCACGACACACCCACTGACCAAACTTCCGTTTGTCCTGGGGTCTCCTGGTCACAAGCAGCAAGCTTGGGGACAGCGCCTCTAGTCCCCAGGGCTGACCAGGACTCCAGGCCTTGGCACTCTCTTCCTTACCCTGGAACTTGTTTATTCTTTTCCTGCTCTTTCTTTGGGTGGGGGCTTCCCCAGCAGGACCACCAGGAGGCCCAGGGGCCTCTCCCTGCTATTCTCAGCCAACGGGGCTGTTGGTTCTGACCAGGGCCTGACGACAGTGTTGGCTTGACTGGGCCACCTACAGGGGTGCTTGGGGCCCTCACAACACCCCCAGGAAACCGTGTGGTGCCAGGGACTGAAGTGGGGTCAGCGCCATGGCCATACAAGGCCTGGCCAAAGCCTTGGGCTACCTCTCTGGCCCCAATTTATTCTTTTTCTTTTTATTTTTTTGCTTTTTGGATCATACCTGGTGAAGCTCAGGGGTTACGCCTGGCTCATACACTCAGGAATTAATCCTGGCGATGCTCAGGGGACCATATGGGATGCTGGGAATTGAACCCGGGTTGGCCGCGTACAAGGCAAACGCTCTACCAGCTGTTCGATCGCTCCAGCCCCATCTGGCCCCAATTTATTTTTGAATTCTGTCTGCTCAGGGATCCTCCCAAGGATGAGGCGGATAAAAGCCATCCTTCTTACCCTTTGCCCTCCAGGCCCCACCTCTGCATCTAGGTCAGGTAGTGACCAAGCCCCTCAGCCAGCTCACGTCAGTCTGGGCCCACAGTGGGCAGAGACGGGGGATGGAACGCCCACCTTGCCGCTGGACCCGGGGCTCCTCAGTGCTTGGGAAGTGCCTCTGCCCACTGTGTGTGCCCTGCATGGCCCCATGTGCAGCTCCCCCTGCCTCTGGCCCTGCCCTGCGGCCCCCACTGAGATCCCATGCAGGCGTCTACTTCTGGCCCCCGTAACAGCAGGGACTGAGAGACGGAAACCCAAAGGGGCTCAGGGGTTTGTGGGGGCCGCACAGCAGAAACCGGGGAAAGCTGGCCCAGAACTCAAACACTTCTTTGTCTACCAATCTTTTCCCTTGGGGACAGACAACTCTGAAGTCGGGGGTCACTGGTGGCAGAGGCACCAAGCAACATACTGGGGGCTGGACGTGCAGCCCCTGGCCCTTCATTCTGTCCTGACCATAGAGCCCTGGGTGCTCCCACCTCACAGTGTCCCCCTGCTGAGATCACATGAGCTGAAAGTGGAATTCGAACCCCGGCCTGTGGCCTTGAGCAAGTCCCTGCTTCTCTGAGCTGCAGAGCATGAGCGGAAGGGGCCAGGGGCCAGCAGGGGCAATGTGTGCACTCACATCCCTGGTCACGACAGCGGGAAGAATGGTTCTCCCGGGGCTGCCCTCAGCTCTGCAGCACCAGCATCGGGCGCCAAGCAGGCCAGCACAGGCCCTGCCTGGCCCCTCTGCCTCTGCCCAGACCAGACCTGGTGCCCAGAGAGCAGCAGCACTCTGGAGCCGTCCTCGGATCTGCTGTCTGCTCATGCGGCAGACGAGCCCCCTCCTCCCCAGCCTTACATAACACGCTTCCCTCCATCCCTGGCCGGCAGCCTGCAGCAACACCACCAGCCTGCCTAAGGCTTCAGATTCAGGAGGGAGGGGAGTGGGGCAGGGCAGAGGGGAGCCCTGGGGGTTTCCTGCTGGATTCCATTTGTCCTGGGAGCCAAAGGCACAGCATCCCCCCGCCCCCCCCCCCCCCCACACACAGAAGGTGGCACAGAAGCTGCCTGGAGACAGTCCCCCAGTACTGGAGCTGCTCTGCTCCACCCTGGCAGCATCAGGGCCCCTGGGGGGCTGCAATGGGTCCCAGGTCAGATCCGTCCACAAGGAGATTCTTGTCTCCAACGCCACCCCAACCCCCCACTTTGAGACAGAACCCAACAAACTGCAGCACGGCAAGGCAGTGCTGATGGGCAGGGCAGAGACGAAAGGGGACAGTATTGATGGTCTCCTCTGTTCCTTCCCCTGCTCTTCCTCCACCAGGCCGGGGGCCCCCAGTGACTCCCATCTGCCTGCAAGCACAGCCCCCAGCTCCCACTACCTTTCCAAGCCAGCCCCCACCCCCTCCCCCCATCCGGCTGACCCCTCAGGCTCTAGGGCCTGCTGTATCTTGGGGCCAGGGTCCCCTGACAGCACTGAACACAGCCTCCTGCACCCTTGGCATCAGCCCCTCCCCCACGGCTGTGCCCACCACAGGGTGCAGCTGAGAGGCGCAAGCACCAGGGAAGCTGCTGCCGATTGACATGAGGCTCCCACCCTGCAGGGTGCCCCCAGGGACACAGGAAATCCTCCTGCAGGAACAGCCAGGAAGGGTCTTTTATCTTTGTGTGTTTTGGGCCACACCCGAAATGGCAGAAATTGCACCTGGGTGGCTGCATGCAAGGCAGGTGCCCTCCCCGCGGCACTGTCGCCTCAGCCCCAAGGAAAGTGTGAGGGAGGCCACAGGGGTGTCTCTCAAGCAACCTACTGGGACGGACAGGTCAGCGCCAGGTCTGGGGTGCTGGGCACGTGGGCGCACTTGGGACCTTGCACATACAAGGCACAAGACACTGACCCCTGAGGCATCTCTGGACTCGGTGAAGAAGGAAGTCTTAGGAGAAAACTGGAATGCGTATTCTCTGCCACTGACAGAGGCTCTTTTCCAAGCCTTCCAATTCTCCCTTAAACACATAACTAGCTTTTTTCTGGGGGCCGGTGGGGCTGGGGGGAGTGACCCTAGCCCCTGCATGGGACACGTGTCTGCCACCACTGAAACAGAGCCCGGCTCAAGAGCAGATGATTCTGCCCTAAAGTTGGAGCATTTTCCATCCCTTTTCAACAAAGGGCCCAGCCAGAGCACTGCTGGGTGTGATCCCCATCCCGCCCCAGAAGGGGTTTAGAGAAATAATTCAGCATTTGTTTATTCTACAGACACAGGGGTCCATTCTGAGCCTTGTGTAGGGACAGTCCATGGGACTCAAGCTGTCACCATTAAGAGAGACAGAACCCAACAAATAGCAATATGGCAAGGCAGTGCTGCTGGCCAGGGCGAAGACGAGGGCACATTTCTGATGGTCAGGGCAGAGACAAGAGGGGACAGTGCTGATGGTCAGGGCAGCAATGATAGGGGACAGTGCTGATGGCCAGGGCAGAGACGAGAGGGGGCAGTGCTGATGGCCAGGGCAGCGACGAGAGGGGATAGTGCTGATGGCCAGGGCAGCGACAAGAGGGGATAGTGCTGATGGCCAGGGCAGCGACAAGAGGGGACAGTGCTGATGGCCAGGGCAGAGACGAGAGGAGACAGTGCTGATGGTCAGGGGAGTGACGAGAGGGGACAGTGCTGATGGCCAGGGCAGAGACGAGAGGGGACAGTGCTGATGGCCAGGGCAGAGACGAGAGGGGGCAGTGCTGATGGCCAGGGCAGCGACGAGAGGGGCTAGTGCTGATGGCCAGGGCAGCGACAAGAGGGGATAGTGCTGATGGCCAGGGCAGTGACAAGAGGGGACAGTGCTGATGGCCAGGGCAGAGAGGAGAGGGGACAGTGCTGATGGCCAGGACAGGGACAGGTGGGGACAGTTACTGATAGTCAGGGCAGGTGGGCCCTGATCTAAACTGACACTAGACTGTCCAGCGGCCAGGGAGGCCCATGCAGATGAAGCTCAGTGAGAAGCAGCTACACGAGGACAGTGGCCCCCATGCCGCAATGCCCCTTCGTCCAGGATGGTCTAGGCCAGTGCTGGAGGAAACGACTGGGGGGTGGGGAAGGGCAGTGGGCAGTGCCAAAGAGGAGTGAGTGTGGGGCATGAGAGAAGCAGAAGCAGAGGAGGGAGAAATGAGGGCCCCAGGAAATGCAGCCAGGGGCACCGGAGACTGCCTCACTTCTGCACGGGCTGAATCACCGTGAGAGATACTGGGTAAATGAGCGTTAAAGGGTGAATAAGACAAAATTTGTTTTTGTTGTTTTGGAGCACAGCCGGTGATGCTCAGGCTCATCCCTGACTCCGC